TACGGGTCTTCTATAACAGCTTGTAGGAGATTGCATTTGTCATAGTTCCTTTGTATTTGCTCGCAGGTGATATGTAGTGCATGTAGCAGATTTCCTACAGCGGTCCATGGGAGCTCACTTTTTGCCATATGTCATGTGTCTTTACTCGTGGGAGGACACCGTACGTACTTAATGTTGGGTGGCATTTGAATGCAAGGGTGTTGTATCATCTGCCACTTATTGCTGATCCTCATCTGTAATTCATAGCTCTCAATATTCTTCATCCATATGTCACTCAACATCTGCTGTGGAAATGCCACCACAACTAGTGTGCATTTTGTACACTCTATATGCCCTTTCATTATTATTTATATGTGGCTTATTGTATGCATCATGGTTCTCTCACCCTTGAAAATGGCTTCAGAATGCTCCCAATGATTATTGCCCCTTCAATACCTTCCTCCCATTTAGCATGAATGTTTTGAACATTTGTAGGAAATTCCTTTCTATTGATCATAGGTATATTGCCACATGTCTTACAATTCTCATTGAATGTTTCTTAAGGATGAATTAGATCCAATGCTATGAGTCATTTGGTATGGTCTAAAAGCTCAAACTATGGCTTTATAATCAAATCATTAGCCCTTATGCTCTTCTTGTTCTTTGCTTATAAGAACATCAATATATTTGTTCCAATCATCATACATCTCCCATAAATATGAATGGGATAAAGGTTGCTCGTCGATCACCACTGTTGACATAAGAATTTGCAATGTCCGTCAGGGGATTTAGTTCATGGATGAGTTGAGAATCTCGTGGCATTTTTTTGCAACCAACATGTTCTGTTTGCACCATTTGTTCGCTCCCTATTAATTGTTATTCATGATTGAGGAGTTTCATATCATCACTTGAAGAGAGCCTTGGATCGTTGCTTGTTCGTTTGCATATATTGAGAATTTGTTTTCAATCGCTTGCTTGTATGATGATATCGATCACAAATTTATTATTGCATGTATCACATGTCTTTGCTTGTATGATTAATGTTGTTGCTTTGCAAAGTTACATGTCATTCATCATGATCTGAAAGCCCCATATCATGGCTTTGTGATCAAGCCACATCTCCCAAAATGTATTTGCAAATTCTTTGTCTTGGAAGATGATTCAATGAGTATGACAAGTTTGATATATTCATTCATTTGCATCCCAATTGAGATGATCGTTACAAGCTAATTGTTCAAAAATTCCATGCCAAGGTTTGTAACTAACTCATACATGAGTCCCCTTCTTATTTATTTGTCTTTGATTGAGTCATCTTTATGATTCACGAGTCTCATTTTAAAAAATTAGGTTTTAATTAAAGTTTAAGTCCAATATCATTTGTTCAATATTCACTTGTTAAAAATATGTCCCATGATGTCCAAAAACTGATTCAAGTCCTTTGTTGTGTTCAAGCCCTCTATGGTCCAAGTCAAGTTCATGAAGTCCCCTCTTAATGTTCAAATAGGTCTCCTTCTTTTATTTAAATCAATGCTTGCATTTGAATCCATTTCATGTTCAAATTCATTTCATTTAAGCTCAAGTATTTTTATAAATCATTTTTGTGTCCAAATATAGTCTTGTGTTCATCCAAAATTTCGGCAGCCTCCCGGCGTCTCTCCCATTTAGGGGAAACTATAGAAAACTGGGCCTCCCGCCACGCTAGAGAAAAGCGTGCACGGTTAGTGTCATAGGACACCGCGACCATAATTTTCGTCCCCCCCACCACGCCAGAGAAAGGCGTGCATGGGTCTTTATGCACTAGTTTAAAGTAAGCAATTTACATTTGACCCCGCCTCGCCATAGGCATCGCACCCGGATTCCCTTCTCACCACGCTAGAGAAAGCATCATGAGTTAGTTTTTCCAGTGCGTTGCTAACACCAAAATGGGGTTTAGGAGATTGCCCGCCCTGTCGCAAGCATCACAACGAATTCCCTCCTACCACGCTAGAGAAAAGCGTGCGTAGGCGGTTGTTCGTCGTGTTACAAGCGCCAAAGTGGGTTTTCCAAGTTTATAGAGCATTATACCTTCGCAATGTTGATGACGACAGTGTTGGCACATAGATCGAGGCAACACATTTTTTTTATCTCCATATATATATATATTATATATATATATATATATATATAATATATATATATAATCATTATATTGATAATGATAATATTATAATTTAATAAAATTATTAGTAGTAATATTATTGTTAACAATAATATTTAATACTAATAAATAATTAATGTTAATATTACAACAACAACAATAATATAATAATAATAATATTTATAATAATAGTAATTAATACAGTTAATAACTAAAAAAAAGTTTACCTAACTAACTATAGGAGGTCGAGTGTTGCAGGTTGATAGGTTTGCTAGGTGTCGTCGGGTTGGCTCAAGCGACGGGTTATAGAAGGTCCTCAGCCCTGATTCGACAGAGGGGGAGATCGGGCAGAGCTCTCGGCTGAGCTGGGATTCGGGTATGGGTATAGGAAGCGGTCAGCTATTGGAGGTTTCTTGCGCTATGTGTAGGGAGGAGTTCAGTTGGTAAGAGGAGCTCGACAGGAGTCTGGGGCGGCTTCGAGTAGGGGAGATCGGGGTTGGATCAGGAGGAAGAAGCAGAGGAAACTGTCGGCCCTGGATTGAGGCTTCGATGAGTTTGAATGACTAGGTATGTCTCTCTCTCTCTCTCTGCTTGCATCTTGGAGAGGGGTTCGACTAAGTTTTAAACGGCTGAGGATCGTGGAAGGAAGAAAGTTATCTTCACAGGCAGCGATTCCCGTCATTGCTTCCGATTAACGTGTCGTAACTTCCGAACTTACAGGAGGAGAATGTCGTCGAAGTTGAAGGAGGAGGTGTCAGAATGGGTTGTGATGAGTTCGGGTGGAGTAAGAGGAAGAGGCAGGGAGGTGGGGCTCGGAAGGCTTTGGCCTTGGCTTTGTCGGTCGGAGGCGTTGGGCAAATTGAAGGCATGCGGTGTTTTTGAGCGTGAGGTTTGCGGGAGAAAGGATAAGCGAAGGTTTAAAAGCTTCGTTCGTTGTTGTATTTAACAACCCGAAGAGCCGAGTTGAGGCAGAGCACGCATGATACGACATTTTTTGGCGCCGTTTGCAGAGATATGGGCGACTGCTTCCACAGGAATTGGGCAGGATTTGCGGCAGAGCACCACCTAAGGTAATGACTTTTAGCATTTTTTATTTCTATTTGGCTCTCTTTTTTTTATTAGCAGTTGAGGTCAACACCACCTTTATTAGTCTCTCCAAACTCATAGCGGCCATGAATACTTTTAAAATTTTCAACAACTCTGCCAGCATGTTCATTTAAATCTCCCCTAATAAAATTTTTCTTCAGAAGATATCTTTTATATTAAAATTACGAAGTCATTTCAAAATTTTAATTTGAACATATATCCAAACCTACTTCATGAGCATAACCACTTATAATATTAATATTTTTAGCATCAACAACAATATTTAAAGCTATAATTTTACACCAATTCTATTAATTTATACAATATTATCCTCAAACTCTTATTTATAATCACACCTATACTATTTTTAATACGACTCCTACCTGAACACTATAGTTTAAATCATAAACTATCAATCTCCTTAGAATTCTCTCCAATCCATTTAGTTTTCTAAATGTACAACAACAACAACAACAACAACATCTAGCCTTTATCCCACTACGTGGGGTCAGCATTTAGTTTTCTAAATGTATAGAATATTTATCTTCCTATAAATTATAATACCCATATAAGCATGTAGTTGTAAAATTCATTTCAATGCAACTTTTACATACATGAGGATATTTTAGCTGCCTCATAAGCTATAAATAGTTGGTTGGGTTTGCAATGTAAATAATCTAGAAACAGAGCTGTTGATGCCCCTGTAGCCAAGTGAATAAGATGTTACTTGGAGACAGCACAAGTGAAGGTCATAGAGTATATATCGCAATCATATCTAAATGTTGTAGGTCCAATCCAAGTAATAAATACTTTAATGTGTTAGCTAGCAATTCAAAACATCAAACATTCTCTCCAACCCATTTAGTTTCCTGAATGTATAGAATATTTATCTTTCTATAAATCATGCAACTTTTACAGACATGAGGATATTCTAGCAGCCTCATAAGCTATAAATAGTTGGTTGGGTTTGCAATGTAAAAAATCTGGATCCACAGCTGATGATTAATATGTTACTTGAAGACAGAATAAGTAAAGGTCATAGAGGGTAGATTGCAATCATATCTAAACGTTTTAGGTCCAGGTCCAAGTAATAACTACTTTAATGTGTTAGCTAGCAGTTCTAAACATCAAACCTATATCTCATCATATTTATCTTTCACAAGATAATACTGGTTGTTGTTATGATTAGGTGAGCCTTTTTCTTGGTCATTGCTGGCAATCCAAATGCGAATGTGCGTCATATTTAACTAAATGACATTACTTAGTCCACAAGGCTCCAATCAAACCTACCCTTAGCAATTTGAGCTCCTAAACTCGAGCAAGAATATCACAATGGTAGCAAATCAACATTATTAACCATGCCTGCAATAAGAGAGTCACACCTAGACGATATATTAAAACCAATAAAGTTAAATATAGATAAAGTAGCCTTAGATTTAAAGCAAACAAAGCATTAAATAGTTCTCGAGCAAAAACACTAGTAAAGTGCATACAACGTGCATGAAACTCCCATTAATATAAAATAAAAGGTGGTTGATGACAGTCTTATCATTGCATTGCAGAGAGATCATTTGTAGGACTAAAACCAGTGAACCTCATATTACAATAAAGGCAACCCAACAATGCAAGTGAATTATATTATTTTTCTATGAGCATGGAACTTGTCATTGCCATGGTATTCATTGAACATAGATATTCATGGATTACATGCAATTTTGTTTTGAAACCAATCGAGCAACTTAATGGACACAGTTTCACATAGGATTACATTCCAGAACTAAAACAGCTTAAAAATTACCTTCTTGTGGAGAGCTTCACGAGCACCCCCGGGATACAGTAGGACAAATGATTTCCTTGAAAGAAGCTTGTACAAAGTAGTTCCAGAGACTGGCACTACACCCATAGTTCTCATACCATCATATGTTGATGAATCTAACATTAACATTTCCGAATCTCTATTAAACAAAAAGGGATGACCTACTGCACGAAGATGTATATTCTTTTCATTTAAGAACCTGATGACGAGTGGGCCAGCTTCAAAACCCATAAGCATGTGGTATCCAACAAGAAGAACTGGCCCCTCTGAAGGAATCCCTGCAAGACCCTTTACTATTTGTCCACTTTCTAAAGTTGACAGCATCACTGGACTGGCAGCTATGTTAATCCATCTAAATAAAACAGAGATATGTTAGATTTTTATCCGTTACATGTCACACGCTATCATCAACCAAAAAAAAATGCTGAAGCTGTACGTACATTTCTGACATAAACATGAAACTTTAACAGATACCAGTTTTGTCTCACCTGTATTGTTCACTTATCTTCTGGAACTCATAAGGCGTTGGTGGAAGGTAATCTGAGACATAATCTTTATAGCTTGATCGACGATAATAGCAAGAACCCTTCATAACATTTACTATATCGAAACTTTCTTCCTGAATCAGTTTACACCCATGAATTGATTATGGAAGACACAAGCAAAAGAATTTTCAAAGTATAAAAATTAAGAATTAAATTAATGCATATCATGTCTAAGAGGAAAAAAATATTAGATAAAAAAAATTAAGAGAGCCCCAAGCTGATAAAAAAAAAAAAGTTCAGAAAAAAGGACTTCCACAAGAGTGGCACCTTATTTATAGGATCTACGAGATTACATAGAACTGTTGGTTAATAAAAAGGCCTCACATGTGACAGAAATCTCATAAACATTAATTGTTAAAATTGACCGGAAAATTTCGCCTATGACATACTTATCATTTAAAAAAAAGTATATATGGTATGACAGGAGATGAGGTCTCCAGGGTTTTATTGAATGGAGGGATCTAACACTCTTGATGAGGTGAATGAATGTGTTAATAGAGGGGAAGGCCTTCGTAGTGGTGGCGTTGAATTGATGTAAAGAGGAGGGCAATTTAGAAGAGGCTGAGAGATGGTTAGATCTCCCTTGGGTGTAGTGTTTGGAAAGGGTGGTTTAGTGGTTAGGGTGAAGGAGAGTAGTTGATTTTCCTAGGTTTGTGGGTTTTTGTGGAGAGTGAAAAAGTGGCATGGCCTTTGGGATGGAGTGTCTCAGAGATAATGCAGATGTAAAGATAAGATCTGGCGTTTGGTGGATGGAGGTAAGGGGAAATGAGAGTAATTGAGATTGGTTGATGAAGCTAGAGTTTGATATTGCTTCAAAATCAAGAGGTGGAGTTGTGAGGATTGGATTATGGAGATGAAGTAGATGTGAGTGCTGATAAATTTTGGGATGTGAAGGATGTCATATTAGATAAAATTAAAAAAGATACATAAAAAAGCACAAAGCTAAAATCTCATTAAAGATTTGAGATCGGATGAATCCCACAAAGCAAACACCGTTTAATCACGCCTCCAAGTAAAATCTTTGAAGATCCCTTCCTGTTAGTTTATACTCATCATCAAATACAACATATTTAAACCCATAAAAGAAGGGGGCTGGTCTGGCAGCTTGGAGGAGTGTAGAGGATGACTCCTTAATTCCAGGAACATGCGTCATTGTTTTGGGTAGGCAATGGGTTGATAGTTGTAGCTCTTTAAATCATGAAATGTCTCTTGATCAGTGAAAATGCATTACACATGTGTAGCTTCACTTGGAACAACTCGTGGCTTGATTTCCTTCATTTGGAACAGACAACCTCCTTGACTGGGATACAAAAAAATTTAATACATCCTAGCTCTTGATAAAATTATAAAAAATAATAACAAATTAACAAAATGAAATCCCTAAATGCCACTTAAGTTCATAAATTACAACCATAATAAGAACTTACAACAATGACACTACAACGGGACAATAACAGAGACTGAGTTATACAAGTAGTACAAGTAGGACAAACTTGCACAATTTTAGGATTTAAACTCTCCTGATGTGTGACATCATGGTATTTGTAGGATAAACTTACACAATTGTTTTAGATTAATTAGACAAAACAAATGCCACTTTAACATTATCGATGCCGGCAGTGTTAAATCAAGTTCAAGTGCACTAGCCTAAATTCAAAATAAATAAAAAATTATTTGAACTCAAATCAAGTTCAAGTTGAGCAAAAACTGCTAATTTTGAGCTAATTCAAAATAAATCTCTTAATTTTAATTTCTCCTAAATTCACACACACAAATACACGTGTATTTATATATATCGAGTTAATTTCAAATTTAATAAAATTATTTTCAAGTGATCCATCCACAAGTTGAGGCAAATTGACTATGATTTCAAGTTGATTAAAATTCAAACAATTATAGAGCAAGTTTTTCAGTTTATGACAAAATCATCAACCCTAATTATCTAAACCTAAATAAATCTGATTTTCATCATACCCCCCTGATCCACTTTTTTTACTGTTCTCTCCTATCCATAATATTCAACAAATAGCTTAAGCTTTATACTTGCAGTTGGCATGAATAATTGGAAATGTATATATATGTAAGTTTTAATCCAATTTGTGTCATTCACCAACTAAGTTCACTCAAAAATAAATGTGACATGGACATGTCATGTCCTGGTTTCGTTTATATGTCAACGTAACTCTCTCATTTCCATTTGTCATGCATGGAGCTCCCTCAACACCGCATGCATGTTTCTTTCACCAGATCCCCCTCCAACCCTAAAGGGCCACAAATTTTTGCTAGCAAAAACATAAACTTCCTAGATAATAGAAAATACAAAAAATATTCAAAACCAAACAAAATATGACAAAATAGACAAATTATAACTTTTATAAAATAAAAGACTTACAAATGACGCTTACAAATGTTTGACACAAATACAAATATAAAAGTACACCTAAAGTTGCTTTCTTGGATTGAGAAGAAGGATACAAGTGGAATGGTACATGCGGAGAGAAGGAGGCAAGAAGTCCAAGACGAAGATAGGAGAAGCTCGCAAGCTATCCCAAGAAGGAGAGGAAGAAATGGAACAAGCTCTCAAGCTTTTCCAAGAAAAACCTTCAGTTTTTCCATTCCAAAAATTGCATATTTTCCATCATTTTAACATCTCAAAACACCTATTTATAGAAGAAAAGGGCAGCCAAACAACCACCTAAAACACATTTAATGTCTTAATTAAAAGAAGGAACTAGAAGGCTAAAAGACATCAAATGAAAGGCCAAAAGACAGCAAACAGCTAGCAGGAATTCTGCACAGAAAAACAGGGAAGAAGCCACCGAAATCCTTCCCAAATAGCCACGGGAAACCAGCCAGCAAGGGACCCGAAAAGCCAGCATAGGAGGCAAAGCATCAGGGCACGGGAAACCAGCCAGCAAGGGACCCGAAGAGCCAGCACAGGAGACAAAGGGGCAAGGCACGGGAAACCAACCAGCAAGGGGGAAATCGAGAAGACAAATGGAGGAGAAGAGGCACAAGTGGGGAAACCAAAGGGTCTTTAGAGAGGGGAGTAAAGGAGGGGGAATGAATCTAGATTTGACAATAAATACACAAATTATGAGCTGAATTAAGTAGTGGGAAAGCATTTACGAGCTGAAACATAAGAAGAGGCTCATTAATGATCTGACTCGAGTAGAACTTACAAAAATTTCAACTCAACTTGTTTTGAACCCCTCCGCCCCCCTCCCTACATCAGATTGGTGTGCTGCAGTAGCCCTTCAGCATTTGCCAATTGAGATTCCATATCCTAGCTTAGGAGGAAAGGCATGGGATTTCCCCATTTCCATTTCAGTTTCTTTATTACTTATACCCCACTTGCATGAGTAATGCAGCCAATAGGGGCCAAATTTTTGAAACGAGCTTGTCAGCAGTTTAATTTAGGAGAAGAAGCATGTTTGCTAAAGTATTTCAGAAGAAGCAGATACGCCGGCATGAATGGCGCATTCATACAATGCGCCTAATGAATTGGCGCATTGTTTGAATGCGCCTAATAGATTGGCGCATTCATCAGATTACCTTGACTGCGCGATAGTATTCGGCGTATTCTACCTTTTTCCTGCTTCTATGCATTCAGTGCTTTTGCAGGCGAATTTTTGCCTCAAATTTGATGCATTTTCTTTTTTTTAAATTTTTCTAGGAATCAGCATTATTCTATGTTTTGATGTTTTGGTACGGTAAAGTAATAATTTTTGTAGCAATCGGGCTCATAGCAATTGTGTTAAAGATTTCTTATGTTTTTAAATCCAACTGAATCATATGGTTTCATCAACTTGTATTTAGTCTAAACAAATTGATTGAAATAAAACTTCATAGAATGCAAGAAACATTAATAACTCTTCTCAAGACAGTTTTCATTATAAATAGCCTAATTTTAGCAATAACATCTAAAGCATTACGCATGTGAAGTCCATCCTGAAGCATATTTATTAACACGACAAAAGGAAATAAGCAAGATCTTCGTTTCCCATGAATGAAGCATCAATGGGAAGAACTTGAAAAGATCAAATACCAGGAAAAGATTGTGGCTGCTATTGTTGAAATAGCGTACTCTGCATTTGGGCAATATTTTGCAAAGCCTTCTGGCTTCTTCAGAGCTGGGAAACAATTGATCCTTTCCACTAAAAAAATAACATGGTATCAAGCCACTGTTCTGAGACGCCAAAAACTTTTAACATTCAGTAGGTAAAAATGATGCATACTACACATATATAGCAGCTTACATTCTTCAGTACTCCAAGTAATAAGACCAAACATGCATGATGCATCACTCAAAAAATAAAATAAAATACCCCTTTCTATGCAAATACCATGAAAAATCTCTCTTTTGATATTAAGCAGGCGATTTGCTTCATAGAACACAAAATATCATCAAAACTTCAGAAAACTTTTTCTTAAATAATTAAAGTCTTAACCCTAATCCCACTTTTCATCAGGAGGTTGAAACCTGACCCCACTCCTACCTCTAATTTCTTTTTCCTCCTTTTATAGTAGCCACCACCACCATCCCATTTTAAGCAAAGGCATTCTGACAATAAGTGAAGATCATTTTATCTGCACAAGCCCTCCTCTCTGGTTCCAATCCTTGTGAACAACTAAGGAATGACTAATGAGCACAAACGACCTCCAGTAGACAAGAGTTCCCAATCAACAGATTTATGAGATAAATTGAGGAAAAAAACATTTTTCCAATAAAATCTTGCTATATTTGTAATAATGAGTTTACACTGTTATTTCAAAAAAGAAAAAAAGATGCTTCAGTTTTGTTAGGGTTGATGGATGTGAAAACTGTTGGATATTTGAGGTGCGAACTGTTGGATATTTGAGGTAAGTATAATAATAGTGTAGAGAAATGCTTGAGATGTAAGAAAATGTTGTGTTGATGGTTTGTTAATAACCCTTTGCATTTTTCTTCATAATAGAACCCTTTCATTAAATTTATCTAGCATCATATTTCTTTTACTTCTAAAAAAAATTTAAAATATTTACTTCTATTTTTTTTTATGCCTGGCCAAATTTTGTTTGTAGAACTGTTGACCTCTACATATGTTCCATGATCAATTGAGTGTGTTAAAAAAGAAGAATAATGGATATGTCGTTTATCAGAGCATAGGGGCACCTCGATCGCCATCAAAATGGCTCAAAACTTTATCTGATCGTGAAATAGATCGCACTGATGCGCTCAGGACACCGAATTTGCTGAGGAAGAGTCATTCATGCGCAACTCAATCAAAAATAACAACAAGCATGATTGTTGGCAAGAGCGATGCCAGTGAAAACTACCCAAATGATCTTCAATTGTCAAACGGATTGTACACATACGATCAGAGCATCAGATTTACCTAAAGGGGACCCCTCACAATTGAATTGAATGACGGCAGTTGAAATTGACGGCTTACAAACGTGACGATGCACGACATTTCCCAAACGTCACCCGATTGCAAAACAGACTTAGTCGTTGCTTCCGGAACGTCGAGAATACTTAGAATTGACAGTAATATTGTCAATATTATAGGACAAGCAAAATCAACATGAGTTTCGATGCTCGACGTTGCCCGAACATAATCCGTTCGCACAACGAACTTCAAAGTCGTGCCTAGAATGTTGAAAATACCAAGAAAAGACTTTAATATTGCATGGATCCTTGCATGATTGCAATGCAATTTGCACGAGTTTCGAGGCGATGTACGGAAATTGAGACACAAATTGAGGTGTGTGATCGACGAGACGTTCTACAAGAAATCAATCTCTTACCTATTAGAAATATTACTTTAATAAAATTTGATGATCCAACAAAAAAAATCAAATCAGATCAAATTAAAAATCTGCTCATCACCTTATCACTGTTAAATTCCTGCTGAACTTTTATCTAGCCGCCCAATCCTACATCCTATGGCTACATCAAAACAAAATAAAAAATTTAATCCCAGTGCCATAACTCACATCCCTATCCTCGCTGAATTATGCCCCCAAATCCTCTTATCCCTATCAAAATCGCTGCCTCAAGCCGCCTGCACATTCCCTATTGCCAGCCACCCACTCCCTGTCCATCAGATGGCAGCAAAAGAAAAAAATATTTAATTAACCTATTCTATATCATGCCCGCCTCTGTTCACACTTCAGTGCTCACAACCTGTTCCGTTCCTCGTGTCCAACAGCCCCCCTCATTTCATCTCCTCCTCTCCTACAACTCCATCCCACGCCACTACAGCCTGGTCTGCCATCCCAGCCCTCTCTAGTCTCTGCCGTGAAACTCCCTAGCAGACAAACCGAAGTCAGCTGCTCCCTCCGTCCCTCTGCTTGCACCCAGTAGCAGCCAAAGCTTTCTCCAGCCACTAAATAGCAAGCAGCTCCACAAGCAGCCATTCCTCCCTTCCCTTCTACTACTTAGCCATCAACTCCACTACATAGCAACCGACAACTAGCAGGAGCCCTGTCGTTCTCATACAAAGTTCCATACAGCAGCTCCTCTCCATTCTAGGCTGCTGCCTGCAGCCTTTCAAACCACAACAACTACAATCCTGCTTTACCAGAACTACTGCCATCTCCCTCAACCAACAACAACCATCTCCCATACACAAGAAACTCCCCACTTATTCTCCAAATCCTCTCCACACAACTCCCTTTCTCCTCACAATTGAACACAGCCACTCCACACTCCACACTCCACAACACAACAACAGCTTCCTCTCCAACAACCACGTTCACTTCCTTTTCTATAAACCACTACAAACTAGCCTCTTACACAAACTAGCCCACATTCCTCCCTTCTCTATTCAACCCAACCGTAAGCTACCACTTCCAAGTTCCAATCCACCAAAAGCTCACATCGAAACTTTGAAAGCCGGCTGTCTTCTCCTCTCTACCTGTACTAGTTGCTGTCCACAAATAGCAAACCAAACAACAGAAGCTGTAAGCTCCCTCACTACACTCCTCTTCACGTGAACATCTCTACAGCCCACTCCATACAGAAGCTGCTCCACCCTACAGCCCACTACCAACCATCACTTGCAGCCCATTCCTCCTCATCTGCATACCTCAACATCATCCCACTCCAAACAGACCACTAGCCCTCACAGCCCACTGTACTGGGCTGATTTTCCTGCTGTCCAGCACTTGTCTAGTGAACCACCCAGCCCTCCTATCCTCCTCACAGCTCCACCTACAACAGCCCATCAGCCCACTTAAATCAGCCCACTCAGCCATCTCCTCCATCAAACTCCACTTAAATAACCCAAACCATTGCACTAACACTTCACTACAACCTCCTCCAGCCACCTTGCTTCCAGGCTCCAGCAACCATCCAAACAATCCCCCCTCTTATGTTATTATTATTAGCAATATTAGCATCGGTAAAAAAAAAATAAAAGAAAGTTTTGGTGTGCACTTCCTTGACCATCGTGCCCTCAACATTGACACCGCCGTTGCCGCCAATTTTCGCTAAGGTATAGTGGCACCTAAAACTAAAAAATCTCCAAATCCTGCTTTCGACGCAGCGCGGCGAGCAACCAATGTGCCTTTTTCTTAGCGCGGTGGGAGGAAACTCGTTGTAGTGCTTGCGGCAAGGCGGGTGAGCCTCGTGCATGCTTTTCTTAACATGGCAAGGTAAAATCTAAGTACATGTGTATGAGCTTCTATGCCTGCTGAGAAAAACTGCGCTTTCAAACAGGTACCCCTGAAGACTTATGCACGCCTTTCTTAGTGTGGTGGGATTGAAGATTAGGACCGCAGTATCGCCCGACACTAATCATGCACGTCTTTCTTAATGTGGTAGGGAGGCTAAGACTCCCCAAAATTCTCCTAAACAAAGGAGACGTCGGGAGTGTCGAATTTTTCAGTGAACAATCGACCGAACTTAAACATAATGCAAGGAACATAACTTGAATAATAAATTGCAGGGAACAGAATCTAATTGGATGATCAAAATAAAATGCAATTAAAATGAAAATTGACAACATGAAATATTCTCTGATGCAAGTTGAACAACAAATAGAGAATCCAAGTAGTATAGAGCTATGCGTTGCTGAAGCACACCACCGAATCCGCAAAGTTCGAACAAGCAGAAAAAAGGTGCTCATAGGCCCTTCAGAAAAACTTATGCACCTTGCAAATGCTTGAAAGGCATATAAAATGCATACACAACACACATTGCAGCATGTAAAATGCATTATGCAAGCATAGCATGTAGAATGCACTATATCGTAGTAGCACTACACTGATATGCAAATATATCATACACTACATGAGAAAATCAAATCATCATGCAAATACAAGCAATGAAACTAAAAATAGGTTATATATATATATATATATATATATATATATATATTAATCTAAGAAGAAAGTGGGGTTGCCACTAATTATTCAAACCAATTGAGAGCAATAATGTATATTATACGAAGGGGTAAACACTTTTGTCTTCTTGAAATTCTTTGTCAATGTCTTAGCACGCATTTATAGACCTATTTTCTAATGACATTTATATACATGTAAGAATAAGTTATATTAATTGTTAATAATTATTTAATCATGCAAAAAAAGAAAAAAAAATTGTAAAGGCAAGTCGAACAACAACATACGAGTTGAAAGAGGCGAATGATCTACCTACTCGATTGACGAAGCACATTTAAGAAAAGAAAAATATTTACTGCTACAACAAGCAAACTCGAGTCATTACTTCCAATCCAACAAGAAGAATGTCGTCGAACGCTCCTGACTTCCGATCCAATAAGGTGTCACACCCCATTTTGACTCTCTTTTTAGTTAACCTGGAGTGCAATAGAGAAGAAGAATATGTAAACAAGACTATCCTACAATACTTCTATCAGGCTCAAGTAAGTAGGAAATAGTCTATCCAGACTATCCCGAAACATCAAGTTTTTTCAATTCTCAAATATAGTCAAGTTTTCATAACTAGAAGCATATTTAACACATCATATAAAATATAGAGCTTACTAACATCCAAAAAAAATTTACATATCCAAAATTTGGTCTGTGCAGCTTCTACTCTAACCTCTATATACACCTAAAACATATGCACAAAAAAGGCAGCCAATTGTTCTGTCTAATATCCCACTGTCTCCTTCCTCTTTCCTACAATACAACAAGTGTTGATGAGCTAGAGCTCAATAAAATACGCAAGCACTGTATAAAAAATAATAAACATGTTTGTAATTAATTGAAAACACATGAAAATTTTTATAATAGACATAAGATGTAAATAATAATAATTTATATTATATTTACTATTCAATACTTTTATACAAGTCATATGATGACTATAGGATTTTGCACACTCACAACTTTCTAATTCAAAGTTGGATATGCATTCCCAACTTTTAGAATTGAAATTGTTCTCTTATTCAAGGTTGGGTTTAAATTCCCAAGTTTTAGAATTTTGAGACTGTATGCTTATCTCGTCAGCTCTTTCGGCTTTACATGTGCGAGTCAATCCTCATATATGACATATCTCACCTTTTTAATATATTTTACATTTCATAACAATTATAATAAAAATATGCTATTGCAATAAATGTTTATTGAATTATTAACCAACTATAGAATGAAACTGGAATTAATGTCATCAAAATCATACAAAATGTGAGTTTACAATTATATAAAGTTTTTATTTTTATTTCATATACCATAGTTTGGGTATCTCATCTTACTAGGAATTAGTTCTCCTAGACTTTGTCTTTTTTTCCTTTTGTACACCACCTCCACCAAACCTCTCCTCATTCAACCCACTCCTTCCCTTAGCTCTCTTTCCGCTTCCTCTCCTTAGTTACCTACTGCCTTCAACCTTTTTCTCTCCCTTTCCGCAGCTAATTTCAGTCACCTAAATTCAGCAACTGGAGTGATTTCAGCCACATTAATTTCAGTAATTTCAGAAACTTCAACAAATACAACTTTCAGCAATTGCCGCAATTACAGCTATACTTTTCAGAAATTTCAACAATTACAGCACAACAACTTCTCCATAAATTTCCTCTCCCAGCAACCACAGCCCTACTCTTTATTGAAATGAGTAACATTTATTCTAGCAAATTCTAAAAAAAGCAAATTTTATAACTCTTGATTAATTTCTTAGCTGATTTCAACTTTTCTCCCCTTTTTCTTACTGATTGCAGCCAACAGGAATTGATTTCTGCAATCGGAATTCAACAAACTGCAGCAGCATTTCAGCAAATGGCAGCAATAATCCTTTCTTTTCCCTCCCAACCTTCCTCTCTTCTTCACTCCCTTTTATTTGCTCAGCTGAATTTAACTAACAGAAGGTTTCTTCACTAAATTCAGCAAACAACAAACAGATTTTACAATTTATAACACTTCACAGCCTACAGCAGCCTTAATGTTTTCTTTTCTTACCTTAATGTTTCCTCCTCTGAACTCTTCATCTACAATAATAGCCTACAGAAGTAGTTTTCCCCTCTTGCTAACGGCCTGCTGCTCCTTTGAATGCCAGAAGCCAAGTGACGGGGAAATGGGATGGAAAGGCTAATGCTTACTAGTGCTTTACTTAGATTATAAATTATTATAATATCCTAATGTTTTTCCCACTACTGACTTCCCAAATCAACTCCCAGCACTGGGTTTTAGCCATCAAGGAAATCAGCCATTACATGCAGGTGTAAGTGGGAACCAAATTCTGATACAGCAAACAGTAATATATAATTACTACTTGTTAATTACATTCAATTAAAAACTCAAGTTTAATTATTCTTATTAAATATATTAACAGGCTTGTAATTTAGATATACTTATATATATGTCAAAATACTCCAAATTACAAATGGGGTTTAATGAAAATACCTATAATGTTTTATAGGGAAATGATAAAATGGGGTAACTTTGGAAACTTGTTATGCCAAAAACATTAAGCTTACATTTTTAAAAATTTGGGTATTATATAGGGCACGTCGCCGACTATCCTAACTTTTGATCGAGCATGAAACATCGTCAAAGAAGGCGAAGAAGCTTTTAGCGAATAGTTCAAAACTCTACCTTATGGGAGGTGCAGCAGACGGAGTCGAATAGCAAGAACGAAATGAGGTACTCGACATTATGGGTGGTGCAGCTAACGAAGTCGAATAGCGCGCCTCTACAGATTTGAGGCGTACGCCTCACGAATTGGGTTCAAAGCATTCGCCTCAATGCGCTACGGGATGGAATTGCAATGAGGCGCGCTCTAATTGCGCAATTTTAAACAATGAGTTGATTATAATAGTTTATGGAATGTAGGAAGACAAGTTCTTGATTCTATTTTAGTAGGTGGAAATCTTGGGTTCAAAGTTGAAGTAAATAAATTAAAAGTGTTCTGAATTGAAGTGAATAAATAGGTCCTGAGTTGACAATGCAAGCTTGCAACCTCTTCATAAATTAGGTATCAAAACGATTATTATAATGCTTTTCCAAATAACGACCAACCATGAAATCAAGTTTTCCAGCATGAAAATAGCTGTTTCGAACATCTACAAGCAACTTCCCTTTCCTTCATTGTAGAATTTCTATTGAACGGGCACTGTTATTGAGAGGAGATATCTAGGGAATCACATGAGAATATATCCCAGCAGTCCAGACAACCATAGAGAGTTCTAAATTTTCTGTACCTGGCAAGTAATAGAGTCTGAGCTTTTACAGTGTGCAGCCGAGGATCCACATAAGAGGATGCAGATTTAAGCAATTGTAATTTCCATTGAAGTGATTCTTTTGGAAGAATTTCAGCAAGGAACTACACAATAAATGAATAAATTAAATCATAGCATGCATATATAATCACTGAAATAAATTAAAATGGGCTTAAATAATGATGAAAATTGAAATCAATTTATGGAAATTGACAGCCAAGCGTGCAAACTGAAAAAAAAAAATGATGTGTAGAACAATAAGAGTCAGATTCAACTTCAAATAACCTACTCTAGAAGCTTATGACAGCCTATTAAGAATAAAAGATTCACTTTTAGTATATAAACTTCATTTTATTGTGTAAACTTCTCAGTAAACGTAAATAGGTGAGCTTCAAGATAGCTGTGCAAGGGCGTCATCAGTGTTGGTGAGATGATTATGTAAAGCAAAAAGTAATAGGCACTGTACATGTAAAGCCTATACATTCTTTAGGAATCGAATCAACTCCATGATGAGTTTTTGGCACAGGAAAATACAGAAAGTGCATATGGGAAAATATATATACCATCTGCTAAGTATAACAAACTGAAAAACTTTCAGATGGGATACAAAAATCTTAAAAATTTCAAGAAATAACAGTAGATAAAAGAGCATGATCTGTAAAGCCAGAACAGATCATAAGGGGAGAGGATGCAATCTGAAGGAATTACTGTAACAGTATGCTTCAAAATCCACCAAGTATATAAGACTCTGAAAAAAAAATATTATTAGTGAGATGTATGAATTCATTAACCAATGCATTGATTTAAGGGAACTTGTCACACAAAGCAAGAGATAAGCAATACAACATATATCTTGTCAATGATCAAAGCAGAACACCAATAATAGAGGAAACTGACATTCAAACCGTACAACCTGAGAATTTAATAGCCGTGATCAAATTTCACAAAATATTCCTCCCAAAAATCACACAATGGATAATCAAAGAAAATAGGAATGCATTTACGAAAGTTTCATTGTTCACACTGCCAATATTTCTTACAAATTCAGTAGGATCAAACTTCCCTTACCACCTAAATATTCATGAACCGAAGTTTATAATTTTCATTTCTCACATGAATTTATATTAATTGATCATCTCCCTTCATAGCACCTTCGTCTTGTCTCGTGAGCAACATCACACCTCCATCCCGACATCGGGCCACTTTTCCGTCCGCTTGGAGCCCTAATTCTCCTACGTGTGTCAGCATCTATTGCGTGTGCTTTTAATTTGTACGAGTGGCTCCCTCTTGTGCAAGCTTCTGCATCACCTCGCACATGTGAGCTAGGAGAGCATCAGCACTACCTACATTGTGGATTGCCAAACCTATTGGTTGTCATCGAACCATCTACAACTATAGCACTGTTCTCTTCCTCACTCATCAACCATCACTCTTCTCACCAAATGGCTTTCACATTTCCTCATTCTAGAAGAGTAAAGCTCTTGTGCTTGCTTCTATTGGGCTGCACTAGCCAGCTTTCCCTCTCCTCACTACAAAATTCATCCTAGTCATCTCCCTCTTTGACAATTTCCTAGGGTTTTAGTGACACTACTACTCACTGCCACCTATTATGGTGAATGTTATCATCTCATAGTCACCGCCACCTATTCTAGTGAATGTTATCATCTCAAAGTCTACTCCTCATGTTGCTCAAGTTTTTTGTTCCCTTACAAATATGATTGGCAGGTTGTCGAGATTGGGGTAGCATCCATCTCCTTCCATCCAATTCCCATCAAGACTCGGATCAACCTCAAAATAAGAAAGCTTCTATTTTTCATGGTAATCATGTGATCATTTTCTCTGATGATAAGAGCTCTGAGCTTATCAAACCACTTTGTTTCCTATTATTGGAAAATTCTACTTGGGCCACCCAAACTTGGATGTTATTTGCAAATTCATATCAGATTTGGAGGTGGTGAAGTTCAATTGGACGCATTGATCATCGTTATATTATTATAAAGTTTTCATGAGAAGTAGATTGCGCCAACTCTCCTCTCGATGAATTTACTATGTCAATGGTTAGCTAATGTATATGCTAAAGTGATCCCCAATTTTAGCAGTTTTGAGGAATCACCTATCAGACATATTTGGATGGTTGTTTATTATGCTCCATTTTGACCATTTCTAGTCAACTTTAAGTCATAACAAAAGCGGATAATCTACTCATGCATATTGAACGAGTAAAAAGTAGTTTGACTCAATCGTGAAAAAATTGACTATTCATAACAAGAGAGAATGCACATCTCCTTTGGATTATTTTAAAATATTTTTGATGACTTAGAGCCTACACATGTTATGAAGCATTGTCAGATATAGGTTTTGTGTTTGATAAATATGTGGCAAGATTTTAACGAGTTAGATTGTTACATTAGGAGGTTATCGATGGACCACAAACATCATACAAAGGAGATAATTGATAGATATTGGTAGATCACAATCGAATAGCACCTCCCCGTGATTTTAGTGAGTTTATCACGACATGCTCTGGTGATGCCAGAGCATATGTCATATGAACGGTTGCAACTCTCATTGTAGAGTATGGGGTGATTTACATAATAGAGGACACAGAGAAATGAGCTCAAAGGTGTTATACATATACATGTCGTCATCGGAGTTAGTGTCATGGGCAGATAAATGGTAGTGCTTTTTTTTGTAGTGCTAAATTAATGGTAAGGGACAGGGGATGCGTAAGGTTTCCCTGTATGAGCTTTAAAGCAAGATAATAAGTGTGAAACATGGATAGAGGGAATGCAGGGCACATGCACAGGAGAAGGGTGCGACAAGAGCAAGATGCACTGTTGATGAGGATGAAGCAAAAGATAGGGTTGAGATGAACGCGTGGGCGAGCACATGAGAGAGAGAGAGAGAGAGAGAGAGAGAGGGGTGAGCAAGGGATATAGCAGGTATGAATTTGTTTAGCTAGTAGACATGTGCAGGATATGGGGTTTCGACAGTTGCAAGGAAAGAAAAAAAAAAGTTAAGGGAAACAATTTGTGTGATTTGCGGGATAATGTATTTGGATGCAAGAATCTCATGCCGAATGATTTATTGGGGCTGCAATTTATTCCATCTTTCTTTCTTTTTTCAAAAGTAAACACACCTCAACCATCACTCAATAGGAACGAATAGGAAATAAGGTTTATAAAACAAATCTCAAACATTTACCATAAGGCTAATAATGATTATCTGATGGGCGATTACAATAACCTTCAATGAATTAAAAAAAAAAACATGAAGAACAAAAAACGCATAATACATTTTAAAGGACTAAGAAGATATAAAATGTTAATATTCTATATAATATTTGCACTCACAAAAAGTGAAGGAAGCATCTTATTGAGGTTCTCAAAAAATCCACTGAAAACTTGTGTAATAGAAATTTGATCCACCGCAAAAGTTGAAGACATTCTCAGGTTCTCACCTAAATAAAAAGAAAGATAAATAGAACTTATATATTTAACAGCATATAAAGAATCATTTGCCCGTTAACATTAAATGAAATGTTAATCATCATTATCATTTGTCCTATTGCCATCTACTTTGGGTGGGTTTTGTGAATCATAGTTCTCCATTCATACCAATTGAGTGCTACAAAAGAGGTTAACTCTATTGTGCAAATCTTTATGCACAAATCTAGCCATGTCATCTTTGATCAATCACTTTTTCATTCATAATATTTTCACATTAATTTTATTTTCTTAGTCTATTGATGCATCTTCCACCCACTTTTATAAATAGCTATTGGCCTACACATGTATGTCATGAGGCAATACAAATTAGCCTCGGTCAAAATTGATATTAATGACAAACGTTGAACATAACATCACGCAAAATCACTCTATCATGAAATGGACTACGACAATGTGTCCAAGAGCGTTGAGTTTATTAGGAAAATCACTTGCGCTCAATTCGAACATGATGTTGCAAGAGTAATGTTCGAAACATCTTGACAGTAATCGACGTCGTTCAAACATCTCCTTTTAGCTAAATGCACGTCATCAACACAAAAGGGAACGTCAAACTTACTTGAAAAAGGGCATATATTAGCATACCTACTTCACAAAAGTGAGATGCAATTGCAAATTTACTTGCACCCAAGACAATGACACATAATTTGAGACACACAAATGAAGAAAGTTGTGGAGAGAATCAACATGCAAAAAAGAAGGAAATTTTATATTTTATCCTAAAATTAAAATTGCTATTATTATTAAATTATATATATATAATTAATGTAATTATAATGAATAATAATAATTTCTGTTAATTGTATTATAAACAATAAACAAAATCAAAATCCAATTAAAATTTAAAATTTTCTAATCCCTTGGCTCAATCTTGCAAAATCCACTAACATCACACCCCTCGCCGCATGATAATCACGTCTTCATTCATTTTTTTCAAAAAAATAAAAAGTTAAATCAAAACTCTCGGACCTTTCGTATCTCACAAACTCCCTCTTATCCCAAGACCAAACCTTGCATACTTCATCTCCCCTGCGATATGCTCAAAAAGCCACTCACACACCTCATCTCCTCTCAAAACCATCATAACCCTCCTTGCCTCAGCAACTTAATGGCCCCTATTGTGCTAAACTCCCAGTCCTTCTATCTCAGTCTCCATCTTGTGTCTCCACAGCCCACAAGTCAAGAGCTCCTTTGTCCTAAACTCCATCTTTCTCGATGCCAACCAAAATCCTCAACCCGAGCATCTAGTGTATTGCCCTCTAAATTTCCCAAATTGCAACTCTCAGATTCTCTAATCCTGCTCTCCCTCATGCTTCTGATTTCATAAGCAACAGTAAAACCCACACAATCCTTCTTCGTATAAACATCTCTTCATCCGTTATTCTGCTCGCAACCCCTCAAGCACCCTAGTTCCACTCCTCCCATCCTAACTAGCTATCGAACCTCCATCTAGAACCTCTCAACTAACATTAATAGAAAATTCTCTCTCATGGCTAAGATGGACAATTAACCATAAGAGCTTGCACCTATGAAAAACCTAAAACCATGTTTTAAAGTACTCAGTAAAATTAGGATGAAATTTCTATATTGTGTCTTATATACAATACAATGTCTTCTGAAAAATTGATCTAGAACATAACTCTCTCAGAAGAGCTAGGCTTGAATTTATGGAGCCCATAATTATTTGACTAATTAAACATAGACTTAACTGAGATGCATGGAATAAAGTGGTGAATAAACATGAGGCCAGCTTTGTTTGGTTGCTAGTAAAGCTAGGGAACGAATGAAAAAAAAAAAAAAAACATTAATGGATCAACAAATGTTGTTGAGTCATGATCTACACACAAGCTCCCTACCTTCATCTTCTTTTTATAATTTCTTCAAGCATTCAAACACATCAACTAGGATTGTGCAGAATCATCTCAACCAAAATTAGCATGCAGGACATTTTATTAACTAGCCTTCAAAATATTCATTATTAAATTGAAGTAGAAGTCCAAGTTAAATTAAAAAATCATTCGGATGAATCAGATGATTCAGATATAATTGTAAATTTTCATCCACTAGCATATCAAAATTGAAAGTCAATCTTAAGGTACATGTTTGCCACAAACCTGTTAGCAAATCAAGGAAGTATGGGATGCCAATGTGCATTGGTTCAGGAATAACATCCAAGAAGCTTGAGAGATATTGTATATTAGATTTCGAGAAACATGTTGCTGTAAAATGAAACCAAACAAAAAGATGGAAGTTAATGCCAATATAACATCATATCGAAAGTAAATAGAGAACTTTATGTAAGACCTGAATTAGCTAGAATTAATACAAAATCAATGTTAGGGTTGCGAGCCGCCACGGCAAGAGCAATGCATGCACCAAGAGATTCACCAACAAGATATACAGGCATGTTTGGCAAGCAGTGACTTCCTGATTTGATTGTGCTTTCAACGTATTCCACGAGCCCTGATCATAAACAAATAATCATATAAGCAGAAGTCAAACATTAAATAACTACTACAAGAAAACTATACCTAAATCTCTAAAGCAATTAGCAAATGAAATTTTGTATGATTTCTCCCAACCAGCATTTTAGCTCATATACAACACGTATCAAATAAAATATGCACGACTTGCAGGAAAGATGCAGGTTCAGGCACTGCCAAGCTATTTAATTTGTCGGTATAAAAGAGGAACCAAAGTTTAGCTGTCTGTAATGGCTACATAAATAACTTATGGAGGAATAAAATGAAAAAAAAAAAAAAAGATTTTCTATTCCATCCATTGTGCATTAGTTTTGTTTATATCCTCCTTTCTAGAAACACTGAATGGTAGCCAGCTACATTTTCAACCATAGGTTAAACTCCAATCGCCTATGTACACTCTCTCAAACCAGAGAATTATAAAAACATATGCAGACATAATCCACAGATAAAATCAAACAGACCCACAAATATAGAAATAATTTTTAGAACTTAAAAGCATCAAGTATTTTGGACAAAAACTTAAGGTTCTTCTAGTCAAAAAGAGCAGCAACTAAATAAATTCGATGAGATGACAAGTTGACAACCCAATTCCGATTTCATTAGGGCATTTAAATGTCTTAAAAATATTAAAGGCCACAGAGTCCTTTTTTTGACCATTTGATTGAGAGACTTGATTTTTGGTAAAAATATCAAAATATCCCCTCTAGAAATTTTAAATAGACCATATTTCTACAAATTCAGGAAAAAAAATTGGAGAATATTCTAGGACATAAAGAATTCCTCTTCCTGCTACTGGAAAACAAGAGTTGTCACCACCATTACACATCATCCATCAACCAATGTTAATGCTCGTCGAGAATGATATTTTTTTAAGGAGAGATTATAACACCTATTGCAACACTGTTCTGAATTGGTCTAGACCTGATATGGTATGTTTGGTATGTTTGAAATTTTCTGCACTTTCATTCTTCATGTGTATGTGAATATTTTGTTTGTGTGTGAATGCATGAATTTATTTTGTAGCGTGTCACAAGGGTCTATGTGTGTAAAATCAAAATTCTAAAATTTTTCTTTGAAAATATTGTAGCGCTATGGCATTGAACTCTCTATCTTTCATATGACTTCACGCATCAGCACACATGCATTTTGGGGATTTCAACTGTTTTCGCTCAAGTTGCTCCCAAGAGGTCTTTCTTGGATAATTTTAACGTCTCAATAACAAACACATGATCTATTTCATGATCAGATATTGTTCAAAAAAGTTTGTGCCAGGGCACAGGCGCTCATAGTTTGTCGTTTTCATCGACCGTCTAAGCTACGTACAAAAGTAGTCTCTTTGGTAATTTTGATGTTCTGAATGCGACGATGATTTTAATGTTTGCGATCAGATATATTTTGAGCAATTTCGCACAATTTCGGAGTGTGCCAACTTCGCTAGTACAACGCCTCGTCGTTTGATCGTGGATTTAGTAGGGATTACATGCCTCGATCATTGGATATATTTTGAAGGTCAATGTTAGGCCGGTTCAGGGAGAACCGGCTCAACCGGCCAAGTGGCAGGCATGACATGTCTACATGAGGCGGAAGTTTTCCTCCTTCCTCTCCTAATCCCGCCTAGTGGGTGGGCCCCACTGCTCAAAAATAGTTTTGAATTCAAATGGAGGGGGCGGCAGGGGCATTTTGGGCTTTTTATCTATTTTTATTAATTGTTTGCTTTGAGTATGAGAGGGAGATTAGGGTGAAGGGACTTTTGGGAATTATTGAGATTATTTCTCTCTTGTTGTTCTTTGGGGTGCTAGGGCTCTAGATTTGAGATCTAGAGATTGGGAGAGTGGGATCCTCCTCTCGAATAGAGGATCTTTGTATCTTTACTATTTTTCTTTCATCTACTAGTAAAATCCAAGTTGTTTCTCCACTATTCTCTCAGATTTGCTGTTTTTCCACTGTTTTTGCTGTCATTTTCTGCTGTGGACAGCATGTTTCATTGAGAATTGCTTCAAAAGTGGTTAGAAAATACTTGAAATCAAGTATTTCCTATCAAATTGGTATCATAGCAAGTCTTGGGACCAATCGTGGGCTGTTTTTGACCAATTTCAGCGGCTGAAATTGTACCGGCGAATGAGAAAATTGCTGAAATTTTTTTTTTTTCAGATCTTGAGATCTTCTCATAAATTACAAGCCGTAGGAGATGGCGGCTAAGAAGGTGGATGCTTTGTAAGAGACGATTGAAGGAGAGATGAATCAAATCAAGGAGATCGTAGAGGAAAGAATGTCTTCCATGGAAGGGCAAGTGGTCGATCTACGGGATATGATGAAGAAGATGTTGGAGTTTCAAACTCAATCGGTGGCGTCTGATGCAAAAGGACCTGCAGCGAAAAACACCAACTCTGAAATCCATCGGGAGGAAGAGGAAGTGGAAAATCGTGGAAGGGAGCCGGGGAAGGCCTCATTTGGAGCCTTTCCAAAGGGAGGAGAGAGGAGGAAGATATGGGGAAAGGCAAGGCTATGGAGGCGTGGAACCAAAAGGTGCTGGTTGGGAGCATCGGGGGTTTATCATGGACGCTGGGAAGCTGTTTCTGAAGACCGAAGAGGAGATCTTGAAGGGGGATTGGGGGCATGGTAGAGCAAGGGAAGATCGGGACACATGGGGGGGTCAGGCAGACGGGAGAGGGGAAATTATGGAGGATTAAGGGGAAACGGCGGAGATCGGAAGGTGAGGAAATTAAAAATGCCCATTTTTGAAGGGGAGGACGCCTATGGGTGGATTTACAAGGTGGAGAGGTACTTCGCCGTTAACGGCTTAACAGAGGAGGAGAAACTATCGGCAACGGGCTTATGTCTGGAAGGGATGGCACTCTCCTGGTACCAGTGGAGAGATCAGAGGAGACCTATCCGGAGCTAGGAAGAATTCAAGGACAGTTTGATAGAGCGTTTCCAAACCGACCGGGGAGGAGACTTCTACGAGCAGTTCTTTGCCCTAGTGCAGGAGGGGTCTGTGGCTGACTACCGAGAGAGATTTGAGCATCTGGCCAAGGATAGAGCGCTTGTCCGATATGGTGCTGGAGGGGAACTTTATAAAGGGGTTAAAGGCAGAGGTTAGAGCAACAGTGAAGGTCCTGATGCCCAAGGATCTGGGGGAGGCCATGAAGCTTGCACAATTGGTCGAAAATCAAAAGAATATGGAGAAGGGAGCTAGAAGCAGCAGCTCAAGAGAGACTTACAGGTGAACAACTACCCACCTAGCCCCCAAGAGAGTATCCACAGGAGGAATGAAAGAAGTTCCGAAGGAAAAAAAGCAACAGGACGAGGAAATGGGAGGCAGTTCAAGAAGCTTACTGAGAAGGAAATGCAAGAGAAGAGGACAAAAGGACTGTGTTTCCGATGTGACGAAAAATACGTGCCAGGGCATAAGCGCAAGGATCGAACTCTTCAAATTCTCCTCGTTTGTGAAGACGAGGAAGACAAAGAAGGAGGGGGAGCGGTTTTGAGGTGGAGGAGGAAAAGATGCATCTGGATGTGGCAGAAGTCTCTCTCAACTTCGTAGTGGGATTCACTCCGAGTCACACTATGAAGGTGAAAGGAGAGATAGCTGACCGTGAAGTTGTGGCGTTGATTGATAGTGGGGCAACCCACAATTTCATTTCCACCTAGATTGTGAAGCTGCTAGGGATGGAGTTAGTAGATACAGGAGACTATGGGGTGATGATGGGCATGAGGAAGGTAGAAATGGGAAGAGGAGTCTGTAGAGGGGTGGTGCTGAAGATATAAGGTATCCAACTAAAAGAAGACTTCCTTCCCCTAGAATTGGGAAATACGGATGTCATCCTAGGGATGAAGTGGTTGCAGACCTTGGGAGAAACCAAGATCAACTGAGGCACTCTGAGGATGGAGTTAGTGAAGGGAGGAAGGAAGAGGGTGATTCAAGGTGATGCGGGGCTGACCAAGGCAGGGGTTTCTCTCAAATCCCTAATCAAGACAATTAGGAGGAGGGGGAAGGCTATTTGGTGGAATTACATAGATTGGAGGGAGGGAGTTTGGAGGAAGGGGGAGACATGCCCCTCTCTGTACAGCCTTTGATCCAAGAATTCTATGAGGTTTTTCAACCACCTCTAGGGTTTCCACCACCTAGAGAGCAGGAGCATGCCATCACTTTAAGGGATGGAGTGTCACCTGTCAGTGTACGACCTTACCGTTACCCTCAGTTTCAAAAAGACGAAATAGAAAATTTGATCAGAGAAATGCTGGAAGCATGGATCATCAGGCCCAGCACTAGCCCTTTCTCTAGTCCTGTTCTATTGGTAAAGAAGAAGGAGGTTAGCTGGCGGTTCTGTGTAGACTACCGCGCACTCAACAAGGAAATTGTACCTGATAAGTTTCTCATACCAGTGATTGATGAACTGTTGGATGAATTGAGTGGAACAGTGATTTTCAGCAAGATTGACCTGAACTCAAGATATCATCAGATTCGAATGAAAAAAGAAGATGTGCCCAAGATCGCTTTTAGAACTCATGAGGGCCACTAGGAGTTCCTAGTAATGCCCTTTGGCCTTACCAATGCCCCAGCCACTTTCCAGGCACTCATGAACATAGTCTTCAAACCATACCTCAGTCGATTCGTTTTGGTGTTCTTTGATGATATCCTAGTGTATAGCAAGATAGAGGAGGAGCATGGGGGGCATTTGAAGCAAGTGTTAGAGATTCTTCAGGAGCACCAGTTGAGGGCTAATCTGAAGAAGTGCTGCTTCGCACAAGCCAGTGTGGAGTACTTGGGGCACGTGGTATCTAAAGAAGGGGTAGCCGCAGATCAGTCCAAAATTAAAGCCATGTTAATGTGGCCACTGCCTAAAAATCTGAAAGCATTGAGGGGCTTCCTAGGGCTGACAGGATACTACAGAAGGTTCGTGAAGGGCTACAGTACCATAGTATGGCCACTCACTGAGCAGTTGAAGAAAGACGGATTTCTATGGGGGGAGGCCGCCACGGTAGCATTTGAGAAGTTAAAGAAAGCCATGACCACAGTGTCGGTCTTAGCTCTACTAGATTTTACTCAGGTTTTCGTAGTTGAGACAGATGCATCGGGGTATGGTTTAGGAGCAGTGTTGATGCAGAATCATAAGCTCATTGCTTACTTCAGTCAGGTGCTGACGGCAAGAGCCCGACTGAAATCGGTCAATGAGAGGGAATTGATGGCAATTGTGTTGGCCATCCAAAAGTGACACCCCTACTTACTCAGAAGACATTTCATAGTCAGAACAGACCAACGGAGCTTGAAATACTTACTGGAACAACGAATGGTGACAGAAGAGCATCAGAGGTGGCTATCGAAATTGTTGGGGTATGATTTTGAGATCCAGTACAGGTCAGGGGTAGAGAACAAAGCGGCAGATGCCCTGTCCCGATGCATGGAGGAGCTGCAGTCAGTGGTTGTATCGGTCCCAATGATGCTAGATTGGGAGGCCATCAGGGAGGAGAGTGCTGGGAATGAAGAACTAGACAGGATCAGAACGAATTTATTGAAGGGAGAGGGCAACCATCTAGGGTACTCATTAGAGGGCAATATATTGTTGTACCAGGGGAGATTTGTGTTACCCAGAACATCAATTCACATTCCACAGTTGCTCCAGGAGTTCCATGGGACCGCAGTGTGAGGACATCCTGGAGTGCTGAAGACCTATAGGAGACTGGCGGCAGAACTATACTGGAAAGGAATGCACAAGGATGTGGAAGAGATGGTGTCCAGATGCGACGTCTGCCAAAAGAATAAGTACCTAGCTAAGTCACCCGGAGGGTTACTGCAGTCCTTGGCTTTACCAGGTCGAGTATGGGAGGAGATATCTATGGACTTCATTGATGGGCTTCCCCGTTCTGAGGGATTCACTGTGATACTGGTGGTAGTTGATAGATTGAGCAAATACGCTCATTTCATTCCTCTACGCCCTCCCTACACTGCGGTAACAGTAGTGTCAGCCTTCATCAAGGAGATAGTCAGATTGCACGGGATACCAGAAGCAATAGCATCCAACAGGGATAAAGTATTAATCAACCATTTCTGTAGAGAGTTGTTCAGATTGCAGGGGACAGTGCTGAAAAGGAGTACCGCTTATCACCCACAGACGAATGGCCAAACAGAAGTAGTCAACCGGAGCTTGGAGACTTATCTGAGATACTTTGCGTCGGAGACACCTAAGTTATGGGCCAAATGACTATCATGGGCCGAGTATTGGTACAACACATCTTTTCATTCTGCTTCTCAAATTACCCCGTTCAAGGTGTTGTACGGAAGGGATCCACCCCACTTGGTGCACTTTGGGAGCAGCAGTACTCCAGTTTCCTCAGTAGATGAGTACTTAGAGGAGAGGGATAAGATATTGGAAGAATTGAAAAGACAGCTGTTGCGAGCTCAACAGATTATGAAGAAACAGACTGATGGGCATCGGAGGGAAATCCAGTTTGAAGTGGGCGAGAGGGTATTCTTGAAGCTCCGACCATATCGACATAGGAGGAATGAGAAACTTAATCCACGGTACTTCGGTCCTTATGAAGTACTGGAGAAGATTGGAGCCGTGACATATCGTTTGAAGCTACCACCGATGGCGACGATCCATCCTGTTTTCCATATATCTTAGCTGAGGAGAGCCATTGGAGATTACGCTACCAGTTCGGAGTTACCAGGGACACTAACTGATGAGATGGAGATGTTATTGGAATCGTTGGAGCTTATGAAGGTTCGCCAGAAAGCAGATGGAGATACAGAAGTCCTGATCAAATGGAAGAACCTCCCTGACTACGAAGCCACGTGGGAGCCATACGAGCGAATGACAAGACATTTTCCTGATTTCCACCTTAAGGACAAGGTGGTTCTTTGGGAGGGCGGTATTGTTAGGCCGATTCAGAGAGAACTGGCTCAGCCGGCCAAGTGGTCGGCCCGACATGTCTACAAGAGGCGGAAGTTTTCCACCTCCCTCTCCTAATCCCGCCCAGTGGGCGGGCCCCACTACTCAAAAATAGTTTTAAATTCAAATGGAGGGGGCGGCAGGGGCATTTTGGGCTTTTTATGTATTTTTATTAATTGTTTGCTTTAAGTATGAGAGGGAGATTAGGGTGAAGGGACTTTTGGGAATTATTGAGATTATTTCTCTCTTGTTGTTCTTTGGGGTGCTAGGGCTCTAGATCTGAGATCTAGAGATTGGGAGAGTGAGATCCTCCTCTCGAATAGAGGATCTTTGTATCTTTACTGTTTTTCTTTTATCTACTAGTAAAATGCAAGTTGTTTCTCCACTATTCTCTCAGATTTGCTGTTTTTTCCACTGTTTTTGCTGTCATTTTATGCTGTGGACAGCAGGTTTCATTGAGAATTGCTTCAAAAGTGGTTAGGAAATACTTGAACCTATCAGTCAACAATGGCATCTTACCAATATTGGGATATATGTATTCAAGAAAGCAAGATGAGCTAACTATAGCATCCTTGGCAATTGAGACACTTGGCTTACCCAAGGGTTCTTTCCAGCATGCAAAAAAACATTTCAAAAACACCTTTTATAAAATCCATTCATCATAGTCAAATACTCTAACTGCTACCAAAGCAAATACATTTCTCGATTCTTATAAATAGAATTTCTTAATTAGTCAAGAGAAGAACAATCACCCTTAAATGGAGTTCGATCCATAACCGGAATGTGAAGACACCAGACATTGAATATCCTGAGGAAAAAAAAAACAAAAAGTAATAAAAAGTCAGCTAGTACATAATTGATCATTTGAGCCAAATCATAGTACTTCCGAAAATCGCTCTCAAATTTCACATACTTCCCCAGTCTCTGATGGTGTCGAACGAGCCCCATTCCAACTCCATCAATCCCTGCAATTTACCCGACATTGAAATGACCATAAGATTCATAAAAGAAACTCCCTTTTTTTTTTACTAATAATACCTAGTCCAACGAGATAAGATATAGATAGAACCAGGAAGGTAAAAAAGCGAGGGCAAGTTGGTATGGCGGGGACCACTGCAGTCGAGAGGCGTAATCCACCGCGGCGGACCGCCGTCGTGCCGGACAAGCTCCCTCGACTGTTCGATGAAGTCCGACAGCCCGCGCGGCTCTACCACTGTCTCATCGAAAACCTTTCCGTCCTGCTGCAGGGTAGGTGGCGGCAACGGCTTCCCTCCCTCCGTAAGCTTCGTTCGGGTCTTCAGCTCACTCGAGATGCCGAAGGCAGCTGGCTCCGTTCCAGATGCGAGAGCCATTGAAGTCGGCAGTCTCCGAGAGGATGGCTTGGGCTTAGGAACCGACGCCACTGAGGAGGGGAGAGATGCAAAGACGGAGGCGGCCATTGGCGCTTGGAGGCGTGGACAGATCACTCTGTCCTCTCCTCTCTTGGAAAAATGAGTGCCAAGTACTTATTTACTAATATAATTTTTGAAAAATATTTCTTAATATTGTACTTTAGGATGGCCCCACCACAAAATTTTAATTGATAGAGGTCCACAAATTAAAATTTTTTTTAGCTTCCCAAAAAATCCGCAACAACTCCCTCACATAAATGATTTGAAAATTTAGAGAATAAATTTCATAATACAACTCATTATTAAATATATTTAAAATTTATTTTTTAATTGAAATTATCATTGATATATTATTGAAAATTAATCTCAATTCAACTTTAAAAATTAAAATTAGAATCATTTCAACTCTATTTCAACAAATTTAAAGTCAACTTATCATGATTTGACTGAGACGAGACATGTCAGCTTATCATAACTTCGATATTGCCATTCTATTTATAAGGCCTATAATACATGTATGTCATTTAGAATCCATTTTTAATGGACATATTTTTTTATAAAAGCAGTTGTAAAACTTCTACCTGAAAAAAATAGCTTTTTCAAAAGCTACTGTATAAAGTAACTTCTTAATAGAAAATTTTATTGCAAACGATGAAAAAATAATGACCAAATAAAAAATTAATTACAATTTGAAGGAAAAAAGAAAACAATAAAAAATTATTATAAATATATATTGAATAAATATAAAATTATTATAAATTAATGCATTACAAATTCTTTATATAAAATATAAATCTCTAACAATACCAATAATTTTCAATTTTCAGACAATTCTTGACATAGTTTATATCAAAATATTTTGAAAAAAAAATTCAAAAATTTAATCAGAATTTTCCAATCAATTTTTTTTTTTTTTTCCAAACAAAATTCCAGCAGCAACTAATAATAATTTCCATTTGCCATCAAGACAGAATAAAAAAAATGAGAATTCATAAATCAATTTCACATGGTTTAAATTTAGTCTTCATTTGGAACAGCTTTTTTCTTGACTTCTAAGACAACTTTTTAATAAAAAAATTAATTTCAAGAATTTTTTATACTAAAAAGCTGCTTTAGAAACAATAATTATAATTAAATCCTCTCACACAGACAATGCATAAAATTAGAGGAATTAGCAGCATATAAATAAGATGCAAGAAGAAAAAATAATATTACAAATCTTTAAGAAGAAGAAAAAAGGATAAATCAGACGGCAATATTAACTGAGAGTGAGACTGTCCATATCTACTACTGCTGTAGCATGGCTAGAAGAAGCTTTCTTCAGTTCCAGTGCTCTTTTGTAAGGAGGAGCAATGGGGGGCTGAACCGGATCTAAGCTCCGATATGAACCGTCGGCTGAGGTTGGGAGTGGATAGGACCGGTCTGAATCGTATCCATTGAGATCACCACAGGCTAAAAATGGAATGTAAACCTTGTTGGGTCCCTCCAACCATGCACTGCTACAATCTGTAAAAGAAAGAACAGTTTGTGGGTTAAGGAAGACATCTGAAATTAAGAATACTTCATGAAAGTTTATGATATTGTTTGTAAGATGAGAATTAAGCTCCGTTTGAGGAAAAAACTACTATGTGGAGATCGGATGCAGAATGCTGTCCGAAAACCAACCAGAATGCACCACGTCAGCGGTACCCAGTCGCGGTACCGAGCACAGGGGTGACGTGACGCATTCTGGTTGGTCTCCGGATGACGTTCGGCGTCCGCATGGAATAATTAATCTCGTTTGGGATGGCTTTCTTCTTGATTTCTAAAATTGCTTTCTATTACAAAAATTTCTAGAAAGCAGTACGAAAGTTGCCCCAAATGAAGCCTTAATAAAATTTCAAATAAATTTGTTGGTTTTGGCTTCATCCTTTATCCAATTCTAACTGTGTATTCCTCTGGTCAGGTTGATTGTTCGAGCGGGTATTGTTGCAGGCGCTGTAAAATAAATGTTTTTGTTCTGTTCACTGGGAAATATTTATGTATGTGGTGGTTTTATTTATATATTTGGAAGTGGAACTTGATTGTTATTTGGAATTAGAGTGGGTTTATCTTTATATCAACTATAACTAATAAGTTAACGAAGGAAATGTATAAAAGATGTTCAGAAGCGTGTAATTTTACTACTTCAGATGAACAAAATTTTCTCTTCCAGTTTTCAATCTTGGAGTGTTCAAGTAGGAAGTGTAATTCCGTTGAGATGGATACATATGCGAATATAACTTTTTGGGGGAGGCCATCTCATTGAATTATTTTCTTTACCTAGTTTCATCTATATATTTTGTTATTGGCTTGTGGGTGCTCCTATTTTTGTACAAATTTGACATGCAAGTTAATAAAATTTTCATACAACAACAACATCAAGTCTTTATCCCACTACGTGGGGTCGGCTACATGAATCCTTTTTCTCCATTGTGTCATATTAAAAGTCAAATTCTCGTTTAAATCTAATAAAGAAAGGTCATTTCTAATATTTTCTAACCAAGTTTTTTTAGGTCTACCCCTACCTTTCTTAACATAAGTCAAATCTAATAACTCTTCTCTCCTAACCGGGTCATCAGAAGGCCGTCGTTTTATGTGACCAAATCATCTAAGGCGACTCTCTCTAATCTTAACTTCTACTGGAGCTACTCCAACATTTTCATGTATATGCTCATTTCATATCTTATCTCTAAGGGTAAAGCCACTCATCCACCTGAGCATCCTCATCTCTGCCACACTTAATTTAGTATTATGCTTCTCTTTTAATGGCCAACATTCGGCAACATAAAGCATTGCAGGCCTCACTACCCGTTCCGAAAAAATCCTAGTTTAGGTTGAACAATCTAACAAAAGGGTCGGGCTCAAGTTGACCTACAAATCCGTTTTTTACTTGAAAATGACCTGTTTATTTTTTTTTACCTATTTTTGCTTGTGGATATAATATTCTTATTTTTTATCAATTAACGTAAACTTTATAGTTAATAAATTATTAAAAAAAAAAAAACGAATAAATAGGTCAAGTTAGGGTCATTCTAATTGCTAATGGGTCATGTTGAGGTTCGTCATTTTAAAATGGGTTGGTTCGGGTTGAATAGAATGAAGCTGGATCAATTTCAAGTCAGATTCAAACCTAACATGTTAACTTGCTTTAATACCCCTAGGTTCAAATGTCTTATTGGTTTTATTGGATTTATTCATTATCTTTTGAGTTATAATCCTAATATTTACTATTTACATTTAAAGAAAATAATATCATCAAGCCTTTATCCCACTGCGGTGTATTAAGAGTCTTCTCTATTGTGTCCCATCAAGTCTTCTCTATTGTATCTTATTAAGAGTCAAATTTTCATTTAAATATAATAAAAAATGTCATTTCTAAAAATTTCTAAATAAGACTTTAAAAGTCTACATCTATCTTTCTTAACATAGACAAGATCCAATAAATATACTCTCCTAATCAGGTCATCAGAAGGCCGACATTTTATGTAACATATCTAAGGCGACTCTCTCTAATCTTATCTACCACTGGAGCTACTCCAGTATTTTCACGTATATACTCATTTCAAATTTTATCTCAAAGTGCAAAGCCACTCATCCATCTGATCATCCTCATCTCTGCAACACTTAATTTTCTGCATGTCTTTTAATTGCCAACATTTTGTGTTATATAACATTGTAGGTCTCACCGTCAATTTAAAAAATTTTCACTTAAGGGGTACATTTCTATCAAACAACATAGGGTTGTCAAAACCGGTCAACGGTTCAGGTTCAGGTTTGACCCAAATTCAACCAACTTGAACTTCATTTAATAAACGGGTCAAAAAATTGAACTCAAATCCGACCCACTAACAACCCAAACCCAATCCAATAACCTATTTAATCAAATAAATATTTTTATTAGCTTATTAATCATATATTTTAGGTTTGTTGATAAAAAATAAGAAGATTATACTAATAAGTAAAAAAATTAAGAAAAAAATATTAAACGGGTCTTTTTTAGGTCAAAATCGATTTGGTTGGTCAACCTGAACCCAGCCCGTTTAAAAAATAGATCAAAATGCATAACCCGAACCTAACATGTTTATTAAATGGGTAAACCTGAAGCCGGCAAATCAGGTTAACGGATCAGATCATTTATTAACACCCCTAACACAAGTTTAATTCATTCCTTCACTTCAACCATCCAACTTGAATTCTACTAATAGACACGAAATATCTAAAATGACTACACTTTTTAATGACTTGATCATCCAAAGCCACAATCCCCCCACTAGATCTATTACTCCTAAAATTACATTCCATGTATTGATTTTAGATCAACTTAAACTAAAACCTTTAAACTCTAAGGTTGATCTTCACAATTCAAGTTTTCATTCAACTCCCTCTCTAGTCTTATCAACAAGAAGAATATCATCGACAAAAAGCATACACCAGGGTGCATCCTCTTGCAACTATCTAATAATAACATCCCTGACTAAAGTAAAAAAGATATGGGCATAAACCGGATCTTGGATGTAATCCAACTAAAATAGGAAATACTTGGTCAAACCATCTTGTGTTTGAACACAAGTAATAGCTCTTATATGCATATCTTTAATGAGCTGAATATAATTATTATTAACTCATTTCTTTTCTAGAACTCTCCAAAGCACTTCTCTTGAAACTTTATCATATGCTTTCTCTAAATCAATAAATATCATATGTAAATCCTCCTTAGTCTCTCTATACTTCTCCATAAAACCTCTCAACAAATGCATAGCTTCCATAGTAGGCCTACCCAACATGAATCCTAATTTATTTTGAGAAACATTAGTGTCACGTCATAATTTATACTCAGGCACTCTTGTGCATGTTTATTTTTTAATAAAAACCAACACACTCCTCCGCTCATTTAACATCTTTTTAGCCTTCAAAATAATATTAAAAAGTTTAGTAAGATAAAATATTCCTTAATCTCTTAAGCATTTCCACACTTCTATTGGAATATCATCATGTCCACATATTTTTTCACACTTCATTTTCTTTAAAGTCTCTCTAACTTCAATTTAACTAATAAGATGATAAAAATAAAAATATGTATTTTTATTTATGATGCTAAAGTCACTAAAGTCAATCGTATTATCACAATCTTCATTGAAAAGCTTATCGAAATATCTCATCCATATTTGTTGAATATCATCTTCTAATAAAATCACTTTTAAACTTCATCCTTAATGTACTTCATTTGAACTACATACTTCTATCTTTTTATTTGATTAATTTATACATATATCTTTGGCTCTCATCTTATCAAATTAAAAAAAAAAATCTAATGTCAGTATTATTCTCCCTATTTGTATTGTCATCATACAAAAATAATTTCATGATAACATCAATGTATTTTGAACTAATAACACTCCCAATTTCTTTAATCATACATTATTATCTTTCTTTCAAAAAGAATGTATCATCCACCAATCCTTATGTCCTTATACTTAACAAATTCGAGTAACAAAAAAAATCATCTTTTGAAAGTCATCAGAACTCTTATCATCTAGAATCAAGTGTCTAAAAAAATTAAAAAGCAGTTATAACTGTCACATACCTAATTAATATTATATGCTCAAGAGTGCTTTTTCCCATTTTCTACTTTCCTGCACATACTGATGCCAATCCATTTCACCATATGAATACAATCTACCACGTAATATTTATGATGCACTATGGTGGCAAAATAAGAAAGTGCCTGATTCTGACATGAAATGAGGAAAGTTGAACAACGTGGAATGGAAATTTTGAACAAGGCAAAAATATGCATGCACAGGCAAACTTGAAGCAGATTGTAATGTATTATAACTTATAAACATCAATGCTAGTAGTTTAAAAAGCAAGTCTAGAATCACCAAGCTGAAGTAAGGAATTAATTCAGAAGTTTTTACTTGCAAACAGAAGCTGCTATTTATTAGAAATTACAGAACTCCACATTCAGGCGATTCTCCATGATTATGCATCATTACTCAAGAACCAGAACAATGAAAATAATGACATAAGAAGCATTATAGGGGATTTGCAAACCTAAATCACCGCTTCCACAAGGGCTGCCTACTTTTTCAAGGAGGCGATACAAATCATTTGGGTTAAATCCTTCAGGAGGGGAATAATCCTCACAAACAGCAAAGGCCTCTGCAGGAAAAGTATAAGTCAAGTAAAGTTAAACGAACAATGCCCAAAGTTTCTTTAGATACTTGAAAATAACCCTGTGCATGCATTTGTACTGAAAAAACTCTTTTAAACTCTCAAATTACGTCCAAACACTTACGGTTATTAAACGATGAAAAAAATAATAATTAAAAAGTGGTATATCATCTCCTAACATTTGCAGGGCACAACCATTAACAAGTAGAGAAGGAAAAAAAATGTTAATCTTAACGTGATGTTATCAAACTAATGAGAAAAGATAAACTTCGGTTCGCATTGATTTAATGTGTATTTCCTGCATTAATGTTTTGTTCCATTTAATCCTCTATAAGATAAAATAACACCATAAATACTATTGCTTTTAATTTTTGCCCAACTATAATTCAAAGACATCAATTTTTATTTATGTAATTTGAAATGCAAAAATTTTGTAAATTTTTTAAAATGCATAATTTTTTCCATTTATGAAAAATTATAGCACCACACAAATCATTATATTATTCGTATTTAGTTTTTATCAACCCAAGATTTTTAACTAATTTAGTTTTTCATCTAATAAAATAATATAAAGTACTGCCACCATTTAATAAAATAAACTCAAAATATTCAAATAATCTCTATTCTTATATCTATAGGATGCTTAATTGATTAGAAGTACAAGAAAATATTAATTGCAAATTTTGATATATTAATTACTTTACCGCACAATATTATGAATTCTTAAAAATAACAGAAAGAAGAAACTCAATGGTGAGAAGCCAATTTTTATAAACTGATAACTTATTAAATATTCTTTATATTGGGAGACAGGAGCAAACCATTGATTTTAAATATCTATTCAATATTTGAAATTTCTATATATATATATATATATATATATATATATATCAACTGTCAATGAATTGAGAAAAGTTTATATTGCATTATGAAATACGGAATATGTAAAATAATCAATATTTAGTTTTACTAAAAACAACTAAATATTAATACAATATACTATTAGATAGTTGGAGGTGGAATCAAAATATGCAAGAAAAAATCAAAAATAAAAAATAACCAAATTTGTCAATTAATTTTTTATGAAAGATCAAAATAATCCTCAACTATATTAAATAACTATTTTAACCCCTAAAAAGGAACCAAAATAATACCATAGACTATTTTGGTTCTTTTTTAAGGACTTGAGGAACCAAAATAGATTTTTAATATAACTGGGGACCATTTTCATTCTTCATAAAGAGTAAAAGAACCATTTTGGTCCTTTTCTCAATCTAAAATAAAAAATTTTATTAATAAAATTGGTTTAGGTGTAAAATTTTGAAAAATTGAAAAATATATAAAGAGTCTTGTAAGGAGTCTAAGAAAACAATATATGATGAAAAGAATTTAACTTATAATTTATATAACATATTAGAAACTAAGGATGGTGAAAATATATATGAATAAGTTAGCCAAACAAAGAGATAGGGGAAATAAGGATTAGTTCAAGTAAAGTGCATTAAGGATGAAGATCAAAAAGTGTTTTTATAAGAATAGGATATTCAACAAAGGTGGATGAGATATTTTGATAAGTTTTTCAATGAAGATTGTAAAAATATGATTGAATTTAGTGACCTTAGCACCCTAAATAAAAATAGATATTTTTATTTTTATTGATGTATTAGTAAAATTGAAGTTAGAGAGGCTTCAAAAAAAAAAAAAGAAGTGTAGAAAAGCAGTTGGATTTAATAATATTTCAATAGAGGTGTGAAAATGCTTAAGAGATGAAGGAATTTATTGGCATACAAAACTTATGTATGCAGGAGTGTACAAGGTGGTTTTACCAAGTATTTTTCTATTTCAGTTGGATTACACCAAGGATCAACTTTAAGCCCATATCTTTTTGTTGTAGTGATGGATGTTCTTACTAGACATTTGTAAGAGCATGTATTATGGTGTACACTTTTTAATGATGATATTCTTCCTATTGATAAAACTAGAGAGGGAGTTGAAAATAAACTTAAAATATAGAGGTCAACCTTAGAGTCTAAATATTTACGTCTGAGTAGATCTAAAACCTAATACATATGGTGTAATTTTTTAGCAGTAAAAAATCTAGTGGGGTACTATGATTTTGGGCGATTAAATCATTAATAAGAGTATGTGTTTTAGATATATATTGTCCAAAATGATGGTAAAACAAAGAGGGATATTGTTAATAGAATTCAAGTTTGATGGTTGAAGTGGATATATGCATCGGGCCTGTTGTGCGATATAAAGTATTCCTCAAACTTAAGAGAAAATTCTATAAGATGGTTGTGAGACTTACAATACTTTATGGCGTAGAATGTTGCCCATAAAAGACATGCAAGCATAAAATTAAGTCAAGTGCTGCAGAGATGACGATTCTCAGGTAGATGAATGATTTCGCTCTTACAGACATAATGCTAAACAAGTATATACGTGAAAAAGTTGAAGTAGCTCAAATAACAAATAAGATTAGAGAGAGACATCTTAGATGATTTGGTCACATAAAACATCAGTCTTTCGATGACCCAGTTAGGAGAGTAAATGTATTAGATTTTGCCTGTGTTAAGAAAGGCAGAGGCTAGAGGTAGACTTAAAAAGACTTCGTTATAAAATATTAGAAATGACATTTTTTATTAGATTTATATGAAAATTTGACTCTTAACAAAACACAATGGAAAAAAATGATTCATATATCCGACTCCACGTAGCGGGATAAAGGCATGATGTTGATGTTGATGTTGATGTTGTTATATACTTATTAGATAAGATAAAAAGTAGTGAATGAAAAAGATCTTAAAAATGAAAAACTAATGAGATACAAATAAAAATTGTAAAAAAATAATAATAATAACTATCAAATTTCAAGAAGAATAAAAGTATTTTTAAGTAAATTATATTAATTATATTATTTTGCTCGTAATGATGATGACGATATCTTTCCAACTGATAATTGAGAAAATCTAATGATGATCATGATGATATTGTTCCTAAATGATAACTTATAATATCACTAGGGTTACATAGTAAATAATATTAATTCTACTGTAACATGATACTTTTATTTGTGCTTATCTAAATTCTATTGAGCCATGTGTAAATTATGCTACCTATCAATGCACTTATGAAACATGTTCACCAGGATCTTTTGTTTGCATACTATATATATAGAAGATAGATAGTGAATATGCAAGGGAAAAGGTGCATTTGCTGAGTCTTCTTGCATCTACCCCCAGGAATATGGCATAAGAAGCATTTGTTTTCAGTCATGCACACGCAAATGATTCCTTGTACATACAATAGGAGATTAAAATTAATCATGTGAGATAAATCACATGCAGTCAGAAATAATGGTGAAAGCTAAGCGTATATATAATGTCAAGGTGGACACAAGTCTTAGGTCCAGATAATCCATTCTCCAAACCAAAAGAAAAGTTCATTTTATCACGAGAGCCCTTTCAATGGACTACCAAAAGTGCGAAGGTATATAATCTATTGGTTGGCATGAAGACACACAAAACAATGAAAGCGTGTGCTCTATCATCATCACTTAGCGCGGGGAATAATTATTATGTCGTGTTATTGTAAAAGTAGAGAACCATGAAACAAATTAATGTACATAATTCTGGACTTACCAATACTTGAATTGCGGCTACTTCTTGGTTTTGCAAAAGTGACACGAGGAAAGAATAGCTTCAGCTGCAGATGACAAAAGGGTAGCCAATATATTCATATAAACCTCAAAGAAAAAATAAAATAAAAAACTAAAAAACAGTCAGGATGGATATATTGATTAGAATCATTAGATAAATAAGACAAGATGTACTGTAGCAGATCATGTGCTCGCTTTCCTTTCTTTGATCCGTTTTTCATGCAAGTTTGCTATTGAAATTGTACAGTTTCCAAAACTTTGAGAACATAGAATACAACATAATCAAAGCGCCAACTAATTGGCGACAATGAATTTTAGTCCACAAGTCATTTTCTCATCGAACAGATTTCTAAGTCATAACGTTTTTTTTTTACCCATACAATTCAAAATTGAATTTATAGAGTAGGGCTTTAACCTGTACGGTAGGGTTTCAGTAAGCGCCATGGTAATGCTTATGATGGGAAATCAAGACATTTTAAACTTCATGTTTGGATGCCGTGACTAAGTGGATTCCTTTTTATTCGAGTCAAAAACCTTGGTCTAAGTTTTTATTAAGAAAGTGGTGACTTGCCTACCATCATAAGAGACTGAAGCCTTGCTAAAGCGACCATAAGACCTTGCTTGTTCTTTCTGGCATTACCTTGACTTCTTTTACTCCATTTGGGCAGATTTTGGGTCGATTAGATCGATTTTAGTTTAATTTAAATTAATTGAGCTTAATTTGATCAAATTGAGGTCCGATTTGGATTAATTTTGCTTCGATGGCGCTCGATCGAGGCTGATTTACGCTCAATTGCGAATAAATGCGTCAACATGATGTAGCTGTCAAGTGGCGTTAGCCACATGACATGTGTTGAGTTACTAGTATTAAGTAGATTTCAATAAAATACATACAGCGATAAGAAGAGTGTCTATGCTTTGCACACACAAGTGTGGTTGGTGGTGTCAACTATTGTAATACCCATTGTTTTGGAATCCAATAAATCAAAGTAATCTAATATGAATCTCATCTATAATGATTTAATTATTGATTGTAAGCTTTAGAATGTTTAATTGACCTTAAATAAGTGTAAAAAGTGAAACAAGGAAAGGAAAAGGAACAAAATTACCCTAAGAGCATCGCAGCATTAAGAGTGCCGGTGTTGCGGCATTGATCTCTCTGTTTGGGAAAAGGATTTGGGATAGCGCTGCGGCGATGGAAGTTGCTGCCACAGCGCTTGGCTCTCGGGTTTGAGAATCTAGGAGGATCTGGAATATTATGATTGGGAGTAGTGGCACTGTGGAGGTGAGTGCGCAATGCTTGACCTAAAATGATGTTTTTATAATAAATATCTAAAACCATTTTCAAAAACTCAACAAACCCCACTGTCGGCATTGCCCCATTGATTTCTCTGTTTAGGAGAAGGATTTGGGGTCGCTGTCACAGAGTTGAACTCTAGGGTTTGAGAATTTGGGATGATCTAGAATATTCTAATTGGGCACAGCGGTGCCGTGGAGGTGAGCGTCGCAGCACTGGACCTAAAATGATATTTTTAAAATAAATATCTAAAACCGTTTTAAAAAACTAACAAAATCCCCTTCCCCATTCAACTCAATGGTTAGAGAAGAGAAGAAAGAAGGGATAAAGAGGAGAGGAAAAAAAAGAGAAAGGATTCAGAGGACATAGGTTTTTATAAATACTGAATAAATGAGGCAATTCTAATAACACTGATAATTCTCAAAAAGTCTTAAAATAATGCTTTGCATGTTATTCTGAAATTATATTGGAAGATGGATAGCTCATATATTATCATTCTCATATTTAAAGTCATAATTATTTATTGTTCCATTCAATTTGCATAATTAATGGCATAACATTGGAGAAGTTATGATATCTAAAATGTGACAAATGCATTCTCTAAAATGATAGAAGGGCTTTGTATGTTCTGTTATGACCCCATCTACCTTGTATGGATGTGGGAGGGATTCTGGTCGTACTTGCAGAATGAGGGTATGGAAGGTTATTTTGTTATATTCTGTTATGACCCCACCTGATGAATTTAGGTGTGGGAGGTTAAAAGAAACTATAAGTGGAAGTGAAGTTACAAGCAAACATAAGGGCATTGTCTTAAATTCATGCATTGCATATTCTAAGAATTCAATAAATCAAATACAAATGATATTCTGAGCTGGTTTTTTATTAACTCTGAAATCCCTATATAAATTCTGATAAAATAAGAATGTCAAGTGCAATTAAGATTATGATAGCCGGTGTTCTCTGACATCTCTGATATCTCTGTGAAGGCTATATGTGAAAGTATAAGTAATAATCCTAAAGTTAAATATATTCTAATAATTATGAGAAATTACTTTTTGCTAGTGCTTATTTCATGCTTTATTGTTTAGTTGCATATTTGAATGAAGTATTATCAATAATTTAAATGGATATTGATAGTTGTAATGGATTGAGAAAGAAATCTACTAATCTTACTCTATTTATTTCTCTAATATTTCAGTAAAAGGGCCCAGCAGAGTAAAGAGAGAGAGAAGGACAGGTTCATCTAGTTCAAAACAATTGATGTATTTTGAAATCCAGTGCTAATTCGATGTATAAATTGCATGTAAGTTGGATGATTGTATATTAGTTTTGAATAATTAAATCAAATTATGTTAAGACTGTTTTTATTATTTTGAATTTTAGTTAACTTTGATTTATTCTGCATTGTGATTGAGCTAAATTTTAGGTTTAGGGATTTAATCCTTCCATTAGATTCAAGGGTATCACAACTATTATGCACTTAAGTATTCATAATCATTCCTTTGGTCATGACCTACAGGCTCTTTGGTGGGCTGCTGGTATAATGGCCATCAGGTGCTAGAAAGCTTGATTAAGCAGGTTAACTCTCGTTACCCTACTATGAATCTCTTCTATCACCTCTTGACTTAGGCTTCATTTGGGATAGCCTTCTCATTGCTTTCTAAAACTATTTTTAATACAAAAAATTCTAATTCAAGAAATTTTTTAACTAAAACACAGTTTTAGAAAGCATTAAGAAAACTGTCGCAAATGAACCCTTAGTGTCATTGGGATATCCATCCTTGTAATGCTTAGACCTGAGATCTTTGTCAGAACCATCTTATTCTCAAACTAAGAGGTTTTGATACCCGAGCTTCTGACATGATAGGGATTGGCCCAAAACTAAGCCACGATTCTGAGGTTGCTTTATTGACAGTAATGGAGATCTCAATGATGTTACGTGAAGCAATAACTACAAATGCGCACAATGAACACCATAAAAGAAAAGAAAATAAAGGGGTGTCATAAGGTCCACACTTCAATTGATTGACAACAAGATTAATTCTAATAAAGCCAGTCTATCACACAGAAGACCATTGACTGAAAGGGAGTTCTAACAGCTTTGATCCAGACAATGAATTAAATTCATTAGTTATCTTTCAACTAAAAGGCTGGTCAGAAAAGAAAAAAGCTTAGAATAATGTGCTGTGGGTGGGTTTTGAGCACAACATGATAACACAATCAAACATGAAATGACAAATCTAACTACTACAAAAAGAGGTCAATATCACATCATTTGAAGCTAAATCAAACATATTATTAAAAAAAAAACACAAACTGCATGATGTGGACATGATTTCGAAATATAATAATGAAGGGGAAACCAATTTACAATAAAGAGGTTTTTCTTGGGTCAACAGAATGTTTGTACCAGTAGAGTTTTTTTTTTTTTTTGTACCAGTGGAGTATGATGTGACACAGAGTTACTAACTAACCGCCTAACAAACATAGGCGTAATGAAGAGGAAACAAATTTACAATAAAGAGGTTTTTCTTGGGTCAACAGAATGTTTGTACCAGTGGAGTTTTTTTTTTTTTTTTTTTTCATTTTTTTTTTTTGTACCAGTGGAGTATGATGTGACACAGAGTTACTAACTAACCGCCTAACAAACATAGGCGAAAAAAAATACTACTAATACGTTTCAATGATCAATTCTAGCAAACAATGCTACAACCCCTACTTTAAGAAGGATAAGAAAAATATTGATGGAATAAATATCAAATCCATCTTACCTGGCAATAAAGAAGGCTTGTATCTTTACCTCGAAAAATCTTTGAAATGAATTTCCCACCCACTCGAAGTACATGAGTTACAATGGTTAGTGCCTATGTTCAATGTGGATGAATAACATCAGCAAAAAGGATAAGGACAGTAAGTACATAAATGAATTTGTATCCATAATACTTTTTTTAAAATCAATGATAGATAGCAAATAATGTCATAAGGCCAAGGAATGGGATGGGCGAGGCAACAAATGCTAACATTAGATGAAATATTTCTACAAATGTATGGTAGTTTTTAGTAGAAAGCATCCAAAAGAACTCACAGCCAGAATCAGTTGTGATTGGACAAACTCATCCATATCATGAAGTCCAGTAACTGCAATAAATTCACAAATGATTTTCAGAAATATGTTTTGCTGACATGTATTAATAGAACATAAGAACAAAAAATGAATCCTTAATAGTCGTGAAACAGCAACCCTTACCATCTGGAGCACCATCACAAACAACCAGATCAGCTTTGCATCCGTCGAAGTGCTTAATGACCTAACAAAAGCAGAAGATAGAAAGAACTCGGAAAATGGCAACATGCGTAAGAGAAAATTCATCGCATTCGGTTGGTTAACAATATGGACAGAAAGGGTAGCAAACTTTTAAAGGTTCAAATTTTACGTAAACACAACCAACATATTCTTGAAGTAATGTTATAGATTCCATGTTGACAATAGCATACACAATGATATTTGCAATGTTTCTGTAGTGATCCAAAAGACATTACGAAAATTTATGGCTAATTAAACATCATAAATGGGTGATTAGAAATAATAAGCAAGTAGTCCATATCAAATACATTTAAAAAATAGAGATAACTTAAATAATAAATTTTTAAAAAAATAAATTGCTTTGAGAAATCTTTTATGATCACGTCACTTTGTATCAAGAAGGAATCTTTCATTGACTGTGTATTATATATAAGATCAAATTCTCACATATTGACATATAATAAGACTTCTATAAGATAAAGTGGTAATTATATTATTATTAATATGGGAAAAGGATAAAAATGGTCCATTGACTCTTTATGAAAGATCAAAATAGTCTCCAACCACTCTTTAAAGAGGAATCAAAATGATCTTTTAATATAGTTGGGGATCATTTAGCTCTTCCGCGCATCTTTATTTTGATTTGAAAAAATCCTGTGATGCAGAATAAAGCAGCTTCTTTTTGTCAATTTCAATTAAAATCTGCGAATTGGGTCCATTGGGAACATAAAATGAATATTTTATATACTTTTTTTAAGTTGTGCTTATTATGCTGCATTTTAACCATTTTTTTAATATTCAAATTTAATAAAATAATAATCATTTAAAAAATACTAATAAAGATTCGAGCCAGCTTACAAGCTCACGAGTCGAACCTCACCAAGCTCGAACTCGAGTTCGTTTAATAAACAAGATCGATTTTAAGCTCGAGCAGGTCGCGAGCCGGCTCGGCTCAGTTACACCCCTCTGCTATCATTATTTCTTTCCTCTTTTAAGTTGATTTTCTGGTCTTTCTCTAGAATAAAATGTGGGAGAAATCTCTACTTCATTTTTATATCTGGCTCATTAGTCTACAACTGCTGTAACCATATAGTTTGATAGGGATGTCATTTCTTACCCCCAACCCATTTGTTTTTATGAAAATCTTGTTGGAAAGCAAGGAATATTATTTCCTGTCCGGAATATGTATTGCTTGTGGAATTTTATCTTCGTAAATCTAGCGTTGATTGTTAGATGATAAATGATGACTTTCCTGGGAGTAAGATAAGATTGCTGTAAATTCCTCTAGTTGCTGATTTTTTGGTTAATAAATCCTAAAATCTTCATAAAAAATATATGATTGAATCACTTGTGGTATATGAATATCATAGCTACAAATAACAAGAATAAAAAACAACTTCACTGATTCGAATTAGTTATAGGAAATTACGGAAAGAATATGGCTATGTGATTTTGAAGGAATTAAGATAATTACAAACAGCATAAACAAAGATGGAGAGACAACATATATTCTATGTTAATAGCTCATAAAAAAGTGTTGTTCTTGTCAAAAATAATTGGACTTTTTTATGTTACTGCATGGCAGGTTTACCACTTCAGCAGTTCGAGCATTAGTGATATCACCCTGCACTTGAATAACACCATCTATCGGTGCCATTGGCTGTAAATCAATTGCAACAATCAAAGGACGATCACCATTCCTGTTACAAGTTTAAAATGGTCAGGATGCAGCATTGCCTCTTTATAATTAGATACTAACAATAATTAAAGTCTGAAAATATGATTTTGAGCTCCTTAACTATTTTATAAGATGTCTGCCATTCCTACTATAGAACAGGTAAGTGGTTGAAGTAAAATTGACAACAGTAGAAGCCTCACTTATAGAAGCAGAAACATTCACTGTGCATCTTAAATCGTAATTACAGGCAAGGAGTACTATCATCCTGGTTTCAGGGTAAAAACCTGGACAGTATATGCTTAGGTAGCTTTTCTTGCACTGCAATAAGATCCTATGTTAGACAAAGTGTAATGACAATGTTAGACCGGTCCAGCCGGTCCATACGGGACCGGTTCAAGCGGAACAGAGGCGGAAGTGCTTTGCCTCTCCTGTACGCGTGACCGAGCCGCCAAAGCCAACGGAGTAAGTTAGGAAGGATTTTTGGGGGAGTTAGGAGGAAAATTTGAATGTAGGGACTGTTTAGGTATTTCCAATTGGATTGTACGCTCTTTTTTTTTTATTTTTTTATTGTATGCATTAAATAGTTTGTTTTCTTAGGGTTATGGCATCTTGAATTTGGCTGAAATTTGAATTTTTTAGGCTTAGGTTTTTTTGGGCTCTAGCGGCGTGTAGAGATTTGGGAGAGATAGATCCTCTTCTCGAATAGAGGATCAATTGTATCTTGGTATTTTCCGTTTCTATTTCATCAAATAATACAAATTATCTAATGTTCTTATGGTTTTTGTGTGGATTCTTGCGGAGAATTTTTGCTGTTTTTCAAATATTGATAGGAAATTCTTTAGATCTTCAAGTGTTTCCTATCAGACAATGAACAATTTGCAACACGAAAAAAACACTCTTTTCTTCATCTACCTATAATAATAATAAATATATCAAGGTGCATGTTGCTGTGATCTTTGACACAAAAAATCAAAACCTTATGCCAGAAGCATCGCTAATGCTTTTCCATCATATTAGAGTGTCAGTTAGAAAGCTTGTTTTCAATTGTCTAGAATATTTATACTTTTGTTCTCACAAAATTACTGGAACTTCACTTATAGCAGATGGAAAAGCATTGGTGGTTTTTATATAAACAAAAGGATAAAAATATTCCAGACAAATAAACACAAGCTTTCTGAAACGGCATTTGCTTATAAACTATCAGACTGTCATGCACGAGACCAAGGTTTGCCATCTGCTAGTTTGCCTAAGCAGAAATGCATCAGGAATGCTCAAGCAATACAGCCATGAGCCATCTTGCGTCAAGATTAATATACTGGATGATGATGCCAAGGAAGCTAGCAGAGAAACAAATACCAAGATAATCAGGAATTGAAAGCTACTAATCATTCATTTTTAGTAATATCATGCCCATGAAAAATCACAATATTTTACAGCATTGCAATCCACCATATAAATTCTATTAAGATAATTTGACAGTTTCATAGTACCTTCTCTCTTTTTCTATTGTAATCCTCTATGTGAACTCTACTAGCATAACTTACAACTGTCGGGGATCAACTTTAACCATAATAGACTCGTCATTAAAGAGCAGTAACTTGAAGCAAGGTATGACAAATATTACGCATTAGAAGAGAGAAATATAAACACCGACTGAACTTACCTACATTCTGGATTCAGCTTTGATGGAATATACAATTTTCGACTCAACACCTGGAGAAAAATGAACTACAAATTAACTCAAAGTGCAAGCACCAAAAACTCAAGCAAAATCATCATTAGCCTTATCAAATCAATTAGGGCCCGGTTTATGAAATCCTCATTCTCCATTCATATTTTCTGAATTCTAAATGAGAGTTACTCTATTTGCACAAATCTTTTTTTGCATGACTTTGTCGTATTACCATTACCCCTTTCTTCCTGAGCATTCCATGATAATTTAACATATATGTCTTATAGGTGCATCTCTATCATATGTTGAATAGACAAAAAAAAAACCTAGACGTTACTCCCACCATCCGTCTCTCTAATAAAATCATTTCTTAATCTATGCTTCATAGTTATGACACGATAAGATTTACATTCTTATATTTGTCACACTCAACTTTATTATTGCTAACTTCCTCATAACCTGCACTCAAAGTTGTCAATCTAATTCCAATTTTATAATACTTATTTTAAATATCCATGATATTAACATTAAAGAATTGTTCATTTTAAAAACAAAATTTCAACTCTAAAAATCATACTTCAAGTGAATTATTAAGATAAAAGATACTTCAGCGCCTCAATAATGGGCTTCATGGCAATTTAAGATTTTAGTATAGCACAATCTATTAAATAAAAAAAAAAAAAGAGATACAACCATTATTTATAGAGTTACCATTTAAGTCTTTAAAAAAAGGACTATTTTGGTTACCAAAAAGTATATCCCATCCACTTAAAATTTTACATATGCCAACTCTTATCAAATATTAAAATAGTATACAATTTTTAAGCAAAGGTTAAATTATTTTCACTTTTTATTCAGATATTACATTATAAATTAAACATGCCCAATCGGGTAACCAAAAAGTATCAATTAATTATTCGAGCATCATAAAGGTATACAACAAGACAAGACATTTATAGAATGATTTGTGTTATATAAGTACGGCCACTAATTGCTCTATCACGAACATGCGTGATATTCTTGATCCTTATAAGCACATGAGGATGATTGTAGCCAAATTGCAACAGATCAACTTCTACTAGAAAAGTTTAATGAAATCAGTAACAATATCTTCAAGTTGATCACTTAATAAAAAACATAAAAGTGTACTATTCCTAATTAATACCTGACTCCAACTACCAGGTGCAGCACAAAGATCAACGACACGCTTCACTCCTGCAAATCAGGATTGAGACTAGCCGTTATGATGTATTTGAACATAAATAATAGTTCATTCTACGTATATTATAGATATGAGATACAACATCAACTAGAAGGGAAAAAAAAACATGATAACAGAAACAGGTTAGAGAATACTAAGACATCTTATAAAATGCATGACACTCCCATCAATGTGAAACTTGTGGGAGAGAGAGAACTTTTAAGGAAATGCAATATCTCAATCTAACGGTCAAAGAAGACAAAGAAGGCAAGCTCTCAAGAGGGAGGGGGTTTATCAACTATATGAGTGCTTCATAGTTTTCACCTCAATAGCATCAAAATTACATTAGTATTATATACTCTATACATCTAAAGAGAATTAAGACATTAGATACCAGTCGCTAACATGGTGCACTCAACCAGAGTGAAGAGCGCAAAGAATAACGAAGCAAATATATATATAGCAACATACAAATGTGATATAAACTATCAATGAAACAAAACTTAATTGTATGGTAAAAAGAAAAACATTACTTTTCTAAGAAGGGAAATAGTTTAGAGAGACAAATATCAACAATGCTTTTGATCTTCTCAAATGGAAGTAATGAGCTTAACAAACTATTGTTGTGTGACATAAAATTGTCTCCAAATCAAAAAAGTTATTGTCTTAGTTCTCTATATTACAGATTGAGTATCTCACCTAAATTATATGATCTTCTTTAAGATCAATTTCCAAATTTCTATTGATTTGATGTCTTGTTCTTTTGCAAGGAACCTAATAACAATAATCTTCTCAATTTGATATAAATTCCTAAATTCACAACTCAAATCTAAATCAATTAACATCACATAACATTTTTACCTCAAAAAAATTTCTCCTCAATCAAACCTTCAATCCTACAAACTCAAATTCAAACTCAATTTATAGGAAAAAAAATACTAAAATAAGATTCTTTATCAAAGATCTTGAATTCTTCACTTCTCCTTCTCCTCCTTTTTCTCCTTCTCCTTTAGTTCTTATCCCTTCTCTTTTTTTTTTTTTCCTCAAATTCCCTATACTGAGCCCCTTCTTCTCCTTCTCTTCCTTTTTTTCTTCTCTTCTTCTTCTTATTCTTCTCCTTCTTCTCTTTTTCTTTTTATTTCCTTCTCTTCTTCCCTTATTTCCTTCTCTATTTCAGCTACCCGAACACCTTATTTCCACAGCCATCTACGTCATGGGATTGATGGGGGATAAGGATAAGTATAATAGAGATGAGATTAAGTAATTAACAATATAATTGATGAATCATGTAATTAAATTATCCTATAGGCTATCATTACCATCAATTTATCAATTTTCCCTTACATGACATGACATTTTGAAAAAAAATCAATTTTGCTAAGGTAGATTATTTGTTGCTCCCAACATCGCTTATTAGTTTTGGACTTTAAGATGAAGGGATGGAATATAAAAAAAAAGTAAAATGTTATTTTAGGATTAGATGAGGGCGTTTAAAGAATACTAACAAAAATATTTTTAGAATAAGATTTTAGATCTTAGGATTTTGTTTATGCATGAAGAAGCTAATGTTATGTGGAAAAAATTAGCTAGTGATATTAAGAATATTGCAAAGGAAGTGATTGGAGTATCAAAGGGAAAAGTATTAATAGTAAAAATAGTTGGTGGTGGAATCAAAATGTGCAAGAAAAGATCGAAAATAAGAAGCTTTAAGATTGTGTGAATTATAATGTGATGCATATTTTAAGAATAAAGGTGATGCATAAGATTGGGTAAATTATAGAGAAATTAAGTTAACATGTCATACTTTTACAACTATGGAAAATAGTTATAAAGTAACCTATAAAGCATAGGTTACGACATAATACTAATGTTTCTCAAAATCAATTTGGATTCATGTCGAGTAAGTCTACTATGAATGCTATACATTTCTTGAGAGGTTTGATGGAGAAGTATACAGAGAATAAGAATGATCTACATATGATATTTATTAATTTGGAGAAAACATATGATAAAGTTGCAACAAAAGTGCTATGGAGAGTTTTAGAAAAGAAAGGGGTTACATATTTATATATATTTCTATAGATCATCAAACTAAAATGTAGAATGTTATAGAAAAATAGTTTTGATGATTTTAGGAATACGCAAAAAATAACGTATAATTTTAGAAGAAATTTTCATCTCACATACTTAAATTTTTTAATATTACATGTTGCATGTTTTTAGGGGTGTCAATTCGGGTCAGCGGGTCGGGTTCGAGTCGAACCCGGAACTGACCCGGTACTGTTCGGGTCAACCCTTTCTAGACCCGAACCCGACCCGATTCAGGTCCAGGTCAACCCGACCCGACACGAATGATCCGAAGTTGACCAAAAATTGCTAATTTTCGGGTCAATATTCGATTTTCGGGTCAATCTCGGGTTTTCGGGTCAAATATGAGTTTTCGTGTCACTTTCGGGTCAATTTCGGGTTGCTGGGTCAACCCGAACCCAACCCGATTTTTAAAACGGGTTGATTTGTTCAACCCGAACCCGGATTTTTCCGAGTCGGGTTCAGATCGTGTTTCGGGTCGTGTCAAAAATTGACACCCCTACATGTTTTGCACTCCACAAATGCATATATCATCTCAATTATACAAGTTTGTCATTTCAAGTTACATCACAAGTTTATCTCAATATTCTCATTTATGCTATATTCAACTAAATAATAGTGATCTTTTATTGACCATTACTCAAATTCGTATAGCATGAAGGAAAACATAAAAACAAAAACTAATTTTCTTAAACGGATATTTTCACCAAATCATAAATTACCAAGGACATCAATCAAGTTTTACAAATATCAAAATAATACCCCATACCAGAAATTAAACTTGTTAAAATGATAACCTTCGAATATATTAAATTCATCATCTATCTGGAGGAGCTTGAACGCACTCCGCGCTCGCCATCCCTCCTCCTTTGCCTTCCGGTAGTAGATGTCCTACAATCAAAGGACACCGCACCAAACTCAAGCATGTGAAAGTGAAATCTAACAAGATATGAAGAAGGGGAAAAGAAAAGAAAATATATGGATGATCATTTTAAGCAACCAAACCCTTTTATCTTTCGAAGCCTTTCCCATATAAGCTCACTGTTTGGAAAAGAGGAATTGTTGAGACAGAACTCCTACAATGAGTTTGAAGAAGAAGGATGAAAGAAAACTTCTTGTGAGTCGAAAAGTTCTTCAGCGGCTAGCTGCAACGTCGAGTTGGCCTGCGGCACGTTTCCGAACTCCGGTACGGCGACGGCGAAAAGAAAGCTGCGGAGGAACAGAAGACGGCGGTCCACGAATTGGCTTTCCCCGAGCGACCCGGGTTCGAAGCTCATCTAGCATCCGCGTCGGGTGTTTCTGAAATTAGTTCAATTATTTGAGCCTTGCAAGATTATTCTGGATTTTTTTTTATTGAAAATTATGCAGGAATGTTAAGAGATATACTCTTATATTCATCTCTCTTAACTTTCATGAATTTTTTTTTTCCTAAAATTTCAACTTGGTTCAAACCTAAGTTCGAATACAAATTTGAATCTTATTTCAACTATGTTGGAAATATTTCAGAAGAAAGTTAGACAAGGATTCAAGCAATTGGCTATAGAGATTTTGGATGGGAGAATAGAAGAATATTTTTTTATTGAACTTTTGCCGGGTAGTTTTCAACTTTATTGATAACATTATAACATTATCTATTTATAGGTATTATTGCTAAATCTAGAGACTTCTATAATATAACAATTTTAGAGTCTTCTTTATTTATTGCAAATGTCATAGATCATTCTACCAATAATTTTAAAGTCTTTTTTAATTATTACAAATATCATAAATTCTTCTACTACTCTAGAGTCTTCTACATTAGACAAGATTTTAGTATATGTAGAATACTATAAAGATGTTGAGAAAGGAGCATCAGATTTTGTCACTCATTGATGAGAGTTTTGATAACTCCAATCATGTCATGCAGTTGCTCTAACTTTTAACTTGTAAGTGCTTTTGTAAATATGTATGTTAATTGTTCTTCAGTCTTATAGTTCTTGAGTAAAATCTTCGTGTTACTCTCAGCTTCTCTGATGAAGTGATATTTGATGTCAATGTGTTTGTTTCTACCTTGAAATACATAATTTTTTTCTCATTGCAATAACTGATTTGCTATCACAATAGATTTCTATGACTTTTTCTTGCGGTTCACCCATATCTTCAAAAATGTGTTTTAGCCATATAGCTTGACTTGTAGATATTGTTGTTGCAATATATTCAGTTTTAGCTGATGATTGTGCCACTATTTTTTGCTTCTTTGATCCCCAAGAAAATATAAGCCTAGTGTGAAAGCATATCTTGATCTGCTCTTTATATCATCTAATGATCCTGCGCAATCACTATCAGTATATCCTATTAAATTTGGGTTGTGAGTAGATTCATACAAGATGCCATAATCATTTGTTCCTTCCAAATATCTAAGGATTCTCGTAGCTGCTCATTGGTGAATTTGACTTGGATTTTGCATGAATCTTGAGAGTAAACTTGTTGCATATATAATATATGGTCTTATAGTTGTTAAATAAAGTAAACTTCTCATGAGACCTCAATAGATTGTGTTATCTACCATTGGTGCATTGTCTTCTTTCATGAGTGCATTGCTATCTAGTGGAGTAGATACTGTCTTGCAACCATTTATCTTAAATTTCTTTAGCAGATTTTCTAGATGCTTCTTTTTTGAGATGAAGTGTAATAGCACGTATTTTAACCCAATTAAAATTTTTTTCAAGAATCATTATAAGTCCAAATCAAAATTGTCTTTGTCATAGCATATACAATATATTGATATGATGATTACTTTATTAATTTATTTACTAATTAATAATATTGATACGATGACTGTTTTATTGATTCAACACTTATACTGATTTATTGATTTCTCTATTGTACTATTTTACTGGGTTCCATGCCATAATGTTTTATTGTTTACATATTTTACTGCTACTATATGTGAGCTTTATTATTTCTACACTAATTCATGGTCATGTGATTACTATTGTTGTGATTTGCCTTTTGACATGCATATTATTTATGTCTTGCATTGGGTTCATGTAGGATTTGGTTTAAAAAATTTTAGGTCAGGACAAGATAGCAAGAGTGAGAGATTTATCAGGATCTCTCTTTTTTTCTTTTATTTTAGTTATTCTTTTGTACTCAGGATTTGGATAGACATTATATGATTGTATGATTCATAAGTATTGTATATGAATTTTGGAGTAATGAATGCAGATGTATATTGATGTTTTGAATTATATAATTTATTTTTGTTATTTATTACTGATAGATAAAATTAGATAGCTATGATTGCATAAATTAAAAGATAAAAGAATAATTCTTCTAAATTAGATTATGGGGCATGACATAAAGATCCCAGCTTCTTTCTGACTTGCTTCTATCACAAGAAAGTAGTGCATCAGACCTAAGTCGATCATCTCGAATGTTTTCATCATATCTTCCTTAAAATCATCCATCATCCTCTCATCACTTCATGTATAGATTAGATCATCCACATATAGGGAGAGAATGAGTATATTGTTCATACCTTGAGCCTTGATGTATAGTGTTGGCTCACTTGTAGTTCTCCTAAAACCTTGCACTAGGAAGTAGCTATCAATTTGATTGTATCGATCTCTTGAATCATGTTTTAATATATACAAAGCTTCTTCAACTTTAGAATATTGTATTTTGTTGTCATTTTATAATAAATACTGAAGGTTATTCTACGTAGTTCTCTTCTTCTAAATAGTCATTTAAGAATGTTGACTTCACATCCAGTTGATAGATCTTCCACTTCTTTTGTATTAAAGGTACTATCAATGCCTTTATTATGTCAAGTCTAGTAACTATACCAAATGTCTCATTGTAGTCAACACCAAACTGTTGTGAGTATCCCTTAGCAACTAGTCTTACTTTGTGTTTTGAATTGATTCATATGGGTTGAGCTTTGTATTGTAGGCCCATTTTACTTCAATCACCTCTTTTTCTTGTGGAGAGACCACTAGCTTCCATCTATTTTTCTTCTCGATCATCATTATTTTTTCTTCCATAGCTTTTCTCCACACTTCTTACTTTGAGGCTTCTTCAAAGCATTGTGGCTCTATGATTATCAAATTACAATACTTATAATCCTCTACAAGAGATTTTTTTTTCTTCTAAATGGTTATTTAAAATCTGTAACTTGAGATAGCTCTTGAGTTCACGTTCTAAATTGATCATTGATCTCTTCAACTTATTGATGTGTTGATAACAACAAGTTGGTACTCTTTCTTTCAAATTATTGTCTTCCAATTATATGTAGCATCTTTATTGAATTCCACATCTTGGCTAATGATATGTTTCTTTGTTATTAAGTTATAGATTTGATATTCTTTAGATTGAATGCTATAACCTAAAAAAATTCCTTTTTTTTTTCATCTAGTGTACTATTAATTTGTTGTGGAATGTGGACATAACAAATACATCCAAAGACTCTGAGATGCTTTGTAGATGGCTTCCTTCCACTCCAAGCTTCAATTGATGTTTTGTCTTTCATTGCTTTAGTTGGACATCTATTTAGAAGATAAGCTGCAGTATGTACGACATCAACCCAAAAGCACGTTGGAAGATATTTATTCGTAAGCATAACTCTTGGCGTTTCCATCATGGTCCTATTCTTTCTTTTAGATACTCCATTTCTATCTCATGTATATCCAACAATGGGTTGTCGCTCAATACATTCTCCTTCACAAAACTTGTTAAAATCTTTTGATATATATTATTTTCCTCTATCACTTCTTAGTGCATGTGTTCAAGTGGTGGCCTCTTTGATTTTCAACACAAATCTTGAATTTTTTTAAAATCTCAAATACTTGAGATCTTTAAAGCATGAAGTAAACTCATGTAGTCATGTCATTCTTGTGTAGTCATCAATTAAAATAATGAAGTACCTATTTTGCTAAAATGAAGGAGTATGCATCGACCCGCAAACATCTGTGTGAACAAGCTCCTATGGTTCCTTAGCTCTCCATCCTTTGCCTGATGGAAACGGTTGTTGATGTTTTTTACCCAGCAAGAATCCTTCGCAAGTGCCATCGGTCTCCTTTATTATTTGGAGATTTCTTATCATATTCCGCTGGTGGAGAATCTTCAGCCCATGAAAGTTGAAATGTTCAAACCCTTTGTGTCATAATAATGACTCTTCCACTTATGCCTTCATTGCCACTTCATTTGTACATTTCCACTGAATTGGAAAACACATATTATCTTTCATTATAATATTTACTATTTAAAGGAATTTATCTTGCTTGTCATAAATTGTGAAAATATTTCCCTCAAAATATAAAGAATATTCTTTTTCCATCATGTGGCCCACGCTAAGTAGATTTTGATCAATGTTTGAAACCAAAAGTACATAATTGATGTATCTCATCCTTTTTTTCCAATGACGATGGTGTATTTGCTTGTTGCCTCCATGAAGTCACCATTTCTAATTTTGACCTTTTCTTGATTTCGTCAAGAATATAAAATATATTCTCATTTTTAGTCATGTGGTTACTGCAAACACTATCAAGATACGAAGTATGTTTCTTCTCTTCTAATATGATTTGACAAGCATAGAAGAGATTTTTATCATCATATTTCTCTTCTGAAAAATTAGCTTGATAATTTTTTTTTAAATGACAAACACTGTGGTTTTCCTTTAAACCAATAATCCTTGTCCAAGTGAATTTTTCTTTTGCAAATGCCATATGGAGAATATTTGTCACTCTTTATAGGATTTTCTTATCTTTAGTGCTTGCCTGTGAATTTCTCTTCTTCTTTTGATTACGAGACAGTAGATTTGTTTTAGATTAAAAGGCATTTTATGTAAAGATTTAATTTCACCTATTCAACCTTTTATCATGCACTCAAGAGAGCCTATTAATTCTATTGGAGATAAGACTTATATATCTTTTGATTAATTCTTTAATTGCATATCTTATTATATAAATTTTTTTGGTGCAAGAAATTAGTATATTCTCGAATATTTTCTTGTCATAAATTATAGCTCCATAGGCTCTCATTTGATTAACTATTTCTTTTATTCTAGAGAAATAGTCTTTAGTGGTCTCATTATTATTCATTTTGACATTCTTAAAATCTTATTTTAAATTTTGTAGCTTGATGGAGCATACCTTACTCTTAGTTCCTTGAAACTCCTCCTGCAATGTATCACATGTTTAGCAATAGTTGTGCCCATGATTCATGGAAAGATGTTGTTTGTCATTGCTTATTTTAAGGTAAAAAATGCTTAAGAATCCTTTTGTTGATTCTCTTTAAGCACCTTCCATTGATTTTCCAAAATACTCATTATATCT